TACTATTCAAAGGAGTGGTTCAACGATAATAGTATTATGACAATACCGTGGCCTCCATATTCACCTGATTTGAACCCGATTGAAAACATTTGGGCTTGGATTGATCGTGAATTAGCAAAGGTTCAAATTTCCACACTTGGTCAGCTGAAGGAATTCCTTAAGGAGACCTGGTATGGGGTCCCAGAAGCGATGTGCAAAAATCTTGTTGAGTCTATGCCTAGAAGAGTTCTTAGTTGTATTAAAGCAAAAGGCGGATACACAAAATATTGATTGGTTCATAAATTACGCCTTCTAATGTATCGTGCGTCTAAATTTATGAATATTTTTTTTTGCCTAATTTTTTTAATACCATGTAGTTGTACCTAATTATTACTTAGTATTTCATTTTTTTTGTAAACTTTTTTTAAATTTTGTATTCTGTATGTATTTATCTGATAAATAAATCTTTTTTTGTCATTGTTTTATCGTTAAAATACCTAAAATTTTCTATTCTCAAATATGAGTGCGTCTAAATTTATGAAAACCACTGTATATATATATTAGGGTGATATATATATATATATATATATATATATATATATATATATATATATATATATATATATATATATATATATATATATATATATATATATATATATATATATATTAGGGTGATATATATATATATATATATATATATATATATATATATATATATATATATATATATATATATATATATATATATATATATATATATATATATATATATATATATATATATATATATATATATATTAGGGTGATATATTAGGCAAATCTGTTTTTAGGGGTCGAATAAACTACAAATTTAATTATCATTTTCTATGTTGTTATACAAGACATTTCTAAAAAAAGTTTTGAAAATATTTCCTAACTTAATTGGATCACCAGAATTAATGAAATTTTTTTGTGTGGCTTTACTAATAGGAAGATTGAAATTTCAGAAATTTTTAAAAATTTCAGCTCAAAAAATTCTCATCGAAAACTTCTTGAGATAACACATTTTGAAAAATGACCTGGTCTCTTTTAAAGAAACTATGTTTTACAATGTTTTTAATTGTATATTTATTTAAATACTCTTAATTATTCATTAAAAAACTTAATAAATTTTGCATTTAACAAGTTTATTAAATAAGGAATCCCATTATTGTACTTAATGAACATAAAAAAAAAGGTAAACTGTTTAAAATGTGAAAGACATTTTTAAAATGTTTTACAAACACATTTTCTGATACATAAAAAAAGTCAGTAAAAATGTTTCTTAAAAAATTGTTTTTTTACAATTATTAAGTATTTCTTTGGACCGGTTACATTTATAAAATAAAAAAAATTGTTGTAAAAATGTTGTAAAGTCGTGGGTAAAAGTAAAGCATAAGTGGTGATGAAGTTTGTCTGACAGGATAATTTAGTTATTATTATTATTGTTTTTTTTTTAACATTTTTGCTTCCAAAAAAGCTGCAAGCAACCACTATTAGAGTCGGAAGTTACTGGAAGAGAAAAGATGAAGATTGTAGAGCAAGATAACTATTGACAGACACTTTGCAATTTATATTTCAAATTATATAAATCAGGAAAGCAAGATGAAAAAAAAGATTGCAAATTATATAAATCAGGAAAGCAATAATGATTGCAATAACAATTGGCTTAAAAAAATTTAGTTTTATCTAAATTAAAGTTCACCAGCCACTGTGAGCCCCATGCTGTAGCAGAAGTAATATTCTTCTCAAGCTCAAGTAGCGCCTTCAAGCAATCAGAGAGTGTTGGCTTATCATGACAAGAATAAATGGGTGTATCATCAGCAAACAATGCTACCTTGGATGTGAGAATATCTGGAAAATCGTTAATGTAAATTAAAAAGAGTATAGGACCAAAGATTGAACCTTGAGGAACCCCTGAAGTTACAGGATATGAAGAAGAGTGCCGTCCATCGAGGACAACTTTTATACTACAATTGGACAGGAAGGATTCAATATTCTTAAAGATGTTACCAGATACACCATAAAAAGAAAGCTTATAGAGAAGATCAGCATGCCAAACTTTATCAAAAATCTCTCCACCTTGATCTAATGCACAATAAAACCTATTGGTTATTACTGTTAACAAATCAGCTGTAGAACGAAAAGATCAAAATCCATATTGATGATCAGAAAATAAGTTATTAAATTCAAGATGGGAGATTAAGTGTTGTTAATTAAAGATTCAAAATCCTTGCTTATGATAGGAAGAATACTAATGGGGCAGTAGTTAAATGAATCAGATTGCTCTCCAGAGTTTTTGATAACAGATAACAGAGTTTTGGGATAACAGATGCCGCTTTCCAGCATGCCGGAAAACAAGACTCACATAAGCACTTGTTAACTAGTTTTAAAACTATTGAATACAGCTCCAGAAAACACTTCTACAAGACTACAACATGTATGTTGTCTGGACCACAAGTTGTAGAAGAGTCAAAGCAGGAAATCACTTTAGATACAGAAGCTGGAGTGGTACAAGTATCAAGCAAAGGATCAACCTGTTTGAAGGCTATATCAGGTAGAATGCAACTGGTGGTTATTAGTGCTGATCCTCATCAAAACGCCAGTAATAATAAACGTAACTCCAAGGAGATGTTTATTACTTAATCATTACACAAATTATGTTTACACATTAGCATTATTTATTTTTTTTCCATTGATGCACATAAGAATTAATATTTTTTACCATTTCCATTACATTATTGCCTTACATTGTTGTATGCATACTTACTATTTTATAGTCAATTTTTTGTTTTATAAGTTTTTTTTTGGTAATATATTTGTTGTATATCTTAGTTTATTTTAAGTGTTTATAAAAAATTTTTATTTTTTATTGTCTGTCATATATTTATATTTGTATTATCTTATATTTTATTATTGTCTGTCTTATATATTTTTAATTATTCTTCTATTAATCTTTATTTTTTTCTTGACAACTGTCAAAATAAGCTTTGTTCGAAAAAATAATTCTCCTTTATTCTAATGTACTACTCTTTATTTTAATGGTTCAGGCTGGGAATCAAAAGAGAGACTGAAGGGTCTTGTGAAGGTTGAGTGAATTTAGTTTTTTCGACTTTGAAAGTTCAGAGTTGAGGTACTTTCGGTTGTGGTTGATCAGCTGGCTCATCTTTACAACATTTATTTTGTAACTACCATTGGTACCTTCAATTGATTCAAGATTTTTTGTGAATTGTTGAAAGATTAGGTTCACCATTTTGAATTTTTATAATTTGTTAGAGATAAACTTAACAAATATATTTTAACTAAGTTTCTAACCGTATCCTTCTTTTATATTCTTTAAAATTAATAAAAATTTAACAATTACATATTGGTTTTACTGTTTTTCATTATCGGTATATTTATTATATTAAAATGCTTTATTATCAAAATTTTCTAATAAAAATAACTCTTGATTTTCATCAATACAATTGGTATTTGATGAAAATTGTTTTAAATTTAAGTTTTTGTGACACGAATGCCAAAAAGTTTTTTTTGAGCGATATGAAACCAGTTTCTTGTGATGATGTGGAAACATTTTCTCTAAAAAAATTTAATAATCTTTTATTTGCCATTTAAATTAAATTTTTATGTCAATATATATGTAATAAATTATAAACATTATTTAAATCAATGGTTACCTTATACTTCTGCAACTAATGTATAAAATACCACCCATAAGCCATGGTTTTCTTACAGCAGAAACAACAGATTTGGGCTGACATGTTTTATCATTACATAGCACTGCTATACTTGATATTCACTGCTTCTATCACTGCTTCGATCTTCGATGCAGCGATCGATCTACTTCGATCACTGCTTCTAGATATAAATCACGAGCTGCTATTAACAGCTCATAATTTATTTCTAGAGGATTAGAAATAGTTTTGGTGGGTTTTTCATAATTTGTATTAAAATTTAGTAATTTGTACCATTGATAAAAAATATCTTAAAATGTATTTTAAGACATTTTGTAGACAAAGTTCTGTAATTAATTATAATTTGTAGACAAAATTCTGTAATTAATTATGTGTGTTTATCCTAATAAAAATATTTCAGTATTAGAACGTGTTAATCAGGGGTGCGGAGTCGTAAAAAAAAGATAACGACTCCGACTCCAGTTGTTGAAATTTTTTGAGTACAACTCCGACTCCAACTCTGACTCCAACTCTTTGAATTCTTTAAAAAGTATTGCGAGATAAGTTGAAATTTTTTTTTTGACAAATATATGCAACGTTCTTTGAAGTTTAGTATGAACATAAGGTTAATTGAATGTTTTGTACATACACGTGCAATACCAAGAAATATTACTATCGGAATTGGAGTCGCGATATTTTTTAGCGACTCCGACTACGCTAAAATTGACGCAACTCCGACTCCACAGCCCTGGTGTTAATAATGCCATTTTAAATTAAAAAAGTTTCATAAAATTTATTATTGTGTTATGTGGGTATAATGCCGCATAGGTCCGGCTATGCAAACTTTAAAAAAAAAAACTTTAATCCTAAAAATGTAATAAACATTAAATATTCAAACCCCTAGGTAGATCAGGGAATTTTGGAAAAGTTAAAATAGAATGGGAAAATAGTGGTGAAGTTGTAGTTTTTTTGACCCCTAAAAACAGATCTGCCTATTATATATACAGTGTGGGAAATAACGGTTGGTCAACAGTCATTGACCCCCTGAAATGACTAAAAATGCTATTTTGACCTCCCAAAATGAATTCTTGCCAGTCATGGTTGACTGGTTTTAAATTAAAATCAGAGATTTAAAAGCAAGGTTTGACAAATAATCAGTTATTTGGAAAATGCATATACTAAAAATTTATAAAATTATTTAAATTTTAAAAAAGCGTTTAAAATAGTTTTCTTGTTTATGGTACGCTACTTTAATTGCTAGCGGGTCTTCAAGCAAAAAGTTTGAAAGCGATTGGAAGGTAAAGCAAATTTTTTCTTTAATCCTTTTATTTTTCAGTACTGCCTGGTTTTTATTTTTGTTTTAAAAACGTTTCAATAAATTTATTTTTTTATCATTATAATTCAATAATTAAAAATTAATAGTTTATTAATAATTTTATATTATTACTTCTGGTACTTATAATATATTTGAGTATATATATATTTCATTTATCGTTTTTAAAACTTTTATATATTAATTATTGCATATTAATAGAATTCAGTATTTTTATTGCTTTAACAAACCTGAACTCATTAATTCGCTTTGTTGACAAATGTATTGCATGTAACAAATACATAACGATGTAAACTATAATCATTAAGATTTTTGATTCATTTATTTAAATTAATTTTATTTTACCGATGGTGAAAATCCGTTTTTCTTAAAAGATTGAAGTTCTTATTTTATTATTTTATTAAAAATGTTATTTATTATTTTATTAATAATATATAATAAATTACGTGTTTAACTATGAACAGTTTTTCTTTCATCTGTACTTAGTCAATTTGTTTTAATTTTCTCTCAATCTTTTTATTTATTTTCTTATAAGTTTTGCAGCATATTGCAAATAAATGAATGAATGGTTTATAGAAAATTAAAAATTACTAATTGAGCGCTTGAGCTTTTTTATTATAACAGGTTTATTAAAAAAGTATATATTTATTAAAAATTTGGTTTTATGTATATGAAATAATTTTATAGTGTAAACAAATTGTTTAATGTTTTAAAATTTAATTTTAAAATTTAATTTTTTAAATTTGTTTCATTGAACAATTAATTTGTCTTCCAAGTATTAAACAAATAAATATACTAAGAAGACAAATGTTTAAAACAATTTAAAGTATTAAATATTCAGTTTACATAGATCTGTAAACAAGAGTTCGTAACTAATTAACAGCGGTTTTTGAAACGATTTTAATGAGCAAGAGATATAAAATGTGCGAAAGTTTTGCTTCTTTAACTTCAGAGATTTATTTCATTATTATTCGAAATTGTTATATATGTAATTAAGAACATAATCTCAACTGTACTTTTTCGCTCAACTTTTCCTGCCATTTGGGAAGTTATTGCAATGAATGAATTATTTTAAAAAAAATTAAAAATTATCAATTGCATGTTTGCGCTTTTAAAAAAAGCATTGATTTTATTTAAAATTGTTATTATTAAAATAATTTACCCTTCAAGCATTGAATTTATAAAGTTTCAAGAAGAACTGTTACTAAGATTTAAACAAAACAAAACAAAATTAACTGTTATTATCAATAATTACTAACCATTAAATTAACTGTTATTATTAAAAATTATACCTTGATTTGGAATAATTGTTGTTAGGGTCGTTCTAAAAACTTTTTTTGAAAATGACTGCGGGCACACCCTGAATATGTTGTATATAATAAAAAAATGCTGGATGTAAAAAATTTTTGAATAAAAAATATTTTAAGGGGTTCCTACAGACCTTCCACCTTCGAAATTTCAAAAATAATAATCATCTTTTAAAAAAACATCAATAAAAAAAATTATAATCAAAAAATCTTGTTATATTTCCCATTTTTTTTCATTTTTAGTTAAAAAACATAATTTTCTGTTCCATAAATTTAAAATAAAAATTTAATTATAAAATGATTAATATTTTTGAAATTTTTATATAATTTTGCTTTGTTTGAGACCCAACATGACATACTTTTGAAAAACTTTTTTTGTAATGATATTAGGGATCTATTTAATGTTCAAGGGTTGGTATAAATATATATATATATATATATATATATATATATATATATATATATATATATATATATATACATATATATATATATACACACATATATATATATATATATATATATATATACATATATATACATATATATACATATATATATATATATATATATATATATATATATATATATATATATATATATATATATATATATATATATATATATGCATATATATATATATATATATATATATATATATATATATATATATATATATATATATATATATATATATATATATATATATATATATATATATATTAGAATTGGGGTAAAAATAAACAAAAGTATGAATTTCATCACAATACTCCTTATTTATTTGCGAATCCATGTATAAAACCATGTATGTAAAAAACCAAAATTTTTTACAGGAAGTGCTCCATTTTTATTCTTTAACTTCAGACAGGTACCTAATATTATAGAAAAAAATTTGTTCAAAAGTATGTCATGTTGGATCTCAAAAGAAATGAAAGTGAAAGTATGTCATGCTGGGTGCATTTCTTTTAAAGAATTTTTTTAAGGATGTTTAAGGGTAAAAATGGGTTTAATGATGTTTAAGGGTAAACATAAAATCAACATGGTAACAATTTTAAGATAAAAAAAAAATTACGATTTTGTTATAGTAGAAACAATTCCAAAAAGTAATCGTGGCTTTTTTATTAACTCTTCTATTTGATTGTAAATAGTTGAAAACTTTGGTCGTTTCACACGATCTTTATCCCAACATATCAACATGAGATCATGGATGGCTTTTGGGCAATGCTAAAACATATCTTATATGAATAAAATGTATTATAAAGAATTAAAAAATGCATACATGTAAAAGTACAAACTGTTATATTTATTTAAAAATAATTTTATGTAGTTTAAGATATGTTGTGCTTAAATTGACTTTTTTTTAAGTTGCAATTTTGTTAAATTAAATCTTAGAGTAGGGTTTTTATGTGGAACAATTTTTATGTGAAATATTATTAAATTTTTGCAAATTTTTAAAATTCTTATTTAACTGGTAGCATTATTGTTTATTTAGCGTGGCTCTCTAATGGTATGATATCAAAGCAATATCTAATATAAACACTTTCCATTAAACACTTAGAGGAAAATTTGTGTATTTTTTAATGTATTCTCGAGTCCTTAATGCAAGGAGGATGGGAATAAAGGAGAAGGTGGGGTGGGGTTTTATACTTTAGTAAGAAATAATTTAAAAGCTCATTGACAAATCAAGATTTACTTGGTCGGCTATATTTAAAGCCTGTTTATACTGAAAGTTTTTGTTTTTATCAATGACAATTATTTTCTAATTTTTAAGACCAATTTTCACTGATTTTTTTTTTTTTTCGATAAGTAAAAATTAATAAAGGGGGGGGGGGGTCTTAATAAGCTTGGGGTGGGTGGGAAAATTTTTCAAAAATTAATAATTGCTGCCCCCTTCCCCCTTTTTTTTTTTTATGAGGGACTCCAGAGTACTCTAAAGAAGTTTTATCTTTAAATCTTTACAAAAAGTTACATCTTTAAATATATCTTTGATCAAAACTGTAAAAATGAGAATCATAATTATAGACAAATGTTGTAAAAAAAAACAAAAACCGAGAGCAAATGCTAGTTATGCTATTATGCAATAATTGAATAACGGTTGCTTAAGAAACAAAAGAAAGTAAAAAAAGAAAAACATGTCATTATTTTCAATATAAATACTTCAAAAAATGATAATAAACACAAAGAAAATGGAAAAATCAGTTGGTCAATCAATTAATATTTTTGTAATCTAAACAGCAAATTTAATATGTTATATAAAATAAAGCTAAAAATATGATATTAAAAAATTCTTCAAATTTTTGAAAAAAGTTATCAATAGAATATGAAAAGGTATAAATTCTTACTCAACACAAAATAAATCTAGCAAATTGTTGACTTATTTTGTAAATCAAAAATCAAAAAAAATGCAATGAAAAAATCTATGAAAATGCAATGAATATTTAATTTTTATGATGAATATTTATTAAAATTATCATTAAAGTATTAGAAATTATCAACAGAAAAAGTTATTTAGAGAAAACTGAAAAAAAAAAAAAAAAAAAAAAAATTAAAAGTACCCATAATTTTTTTGGATAGAATGAACAGGATTAGCATAATAATAATAAGGGTCATGTCATTACTTTTTGCTATAAATTTACCCTTTAAAATTGAATTGTAAATTAATTAAACAAAAAAAAAAGGTATGTAATGGAAATTGAGTTCATATGAATGAATTCTTTGCTACAAAACCTGTTTTAATAAAGACTAGTGTTACAATAAATGATTATAATATTATGAAATGGTGTGAATATATTGTAGAATACAGAATTGAGAAATGGCTAATTGTTATAATGTTTATTATAATAGTTGATGCAATTTATTACTACTAGTCATAAGCTATTTTTATATATAACTACACCTCATTTTCTTTACAAATAGGAATGTTAGTAAATATAACAGTCTAACCAATGAAGTTGCTAAAATTATTCATTTTACTTTTAAATACAAATTTGAAGAGTTTGAAAAAAATAGCTCTACAAAAAAGAAAACTTTATTTTTGTTGTGGTTAACCTAAAATTCAAAATTTACAAATCAGTGTGAAAATTAAATATATTGCATAATTAACATCTATTTTACATTAAACAAAATTTTACATAAGATAATGAACTAAGTTTAAAAAATAAGTCTTGATATTTAAACATACCATCGGTGGAGGTAATCTATAACCAGAAGTTATACGATCCATTACCTATAAAAATATTTATTTTTTGAAAGATTAAATTGGTAATACAAAGTATTATCTCCACAGTAATAAACTTTTTTAAATAAAGTTGCTTCTTTTAAAAGATTTTTTATGAGTTAATGTCATAGCTCATCATTCCACATGGAATGAAGAATTATCACACCAGCACGGGGTTGTAGCTCTTTTGACAAAGAGTGATAGCTTCTGGCCTTCGGTGATAATGAGTGTGATTAGCTTTCTATTCACCTGATTTGAAAGCAAACAAAAACATAATGAGACCATACTAGACGACTAAACAGAACATACTAATACACTACACCATCACACCTGCAGATCTGCCTTTAGATTTCGATAGTCTCTAAAATCAGTAAATCAAATATTTGTTCTTTTTTGCTTATTTGTTTATTTGCTTTTGAGTTACCCAAGGATGAGGATTACAAGGGTGAGTGATTATCCATTTAGACTTTACCAGATAATTAGACATAACTAACATGTGCACCACACTATCGCATCTGTAGATATTTTCAGTTTCAAACACCATTTTTGTAGCACACCTCACCACCTATTATATTTTTCAATTTTTATTTTTTTATTTTTGTCTTAGTAAATTTAAATATTTTATTTGCACAAAACCTCTCAGTTCTTGTAGCTTAGTAGATAGTGTGCCACCTACGGTGTCTGCGGTTCCAGATTCAATGCGGGTCTGCATCTTTTGTTACATTTATTTTATGTGTATATACAAGCATTTTATCGTATTATCTTATTATCCTCAAAAATATTTTATGCCTATTATTATCATTTTTAATTATTATGTATTAGACCACCATCCTCTCTGATATAACACAGATAACTTTATTATACACATCATAAAGGGTTACAACGAAGCTTGTTATCTCTAAATTCTTAAATAGCGAGCTAACTTTCTACTCACCTAACTGGTGTACATATACCTACAGAGAATCACTGTACTATTTAACCACCCTTAGCTTAGCACCTACAACGCTAAATCGTTTTCTTTATAATTTTCTAGAACAGCTCAGAAACAAAGGAAATTCACATCAATAACAATGAAAGATTTATTTAATACTCTAAACATCTAAAGATTGTTTTACAATAAGATAAGGGTGGAAAAAGCAAGAGCCACCACTGAAATGATTAATCAAATGATCACAAACAAATTGGACCATGACCTCATTGAAGCGGAGAGGCAAGTATTGATGTCTGCAGTTGATGTCTGAAAAAATGACTACTTTGTTGAGTATTGCAAAATGTTTGAAAAGTTTAATTTAGTCAATAATGCATTATTTATTGTCAGTATGTATTGAGCATAAGTTTAATTGGTTAATTTAATCAATAAATTTAATTAGTTATGAAAATAAATAAAGTAAAATAAAACATTTTTGCAATAAAAAAATTTATGATTTCATGATTTTTTTTACTTTAACTTTAACTCAATTGTATATAAATAAATTTATACTATATAAATATAATAAATATTCTCTTATGTTAGATATTACATACTACTCAAAAAATTGGACAAACCTCAAAATTACTCCAATCCCAATATGGTCGTTCCCCATAAGACATGATCTCCCACAATAATATTCCAAATGACCAAACATCAGATGCTGTTGTGAACTTTTTAAACTGAATAGCTTCTGGTGCAGTCCATCTAATTGGAATTTTGCCTCCCTTTATAAATTAGTGAAAAATTCTTTAGTTGTTAAACAGTTGGGTTTGTTTAAAATTTAAAGGTTATTTCCTTTATTTTTAAACCAATCTCAGTTAAGCAAAATTTATCACTAATAAGGTTAATTATTGGTTAATTTACTTGTCAGAAATAAGAAATAGGGCAAAGTAAACAGTAATTAACTTGATAACTATTGAAAAATAAATATATTCTATAGTATATAGGAAGGCCACCAAGTTGATATAAAAGTAGAAATACAAGTATTCAGTAGATCAAATTTATTTTTTTTTGCTTACAAATTTTATAAAAACAAACCGCCTAAATAAGAGTGTCTTGTTTATATGTTTACGTTTAAAATTTATTTCACAAAAGATTTTTTTAGTTAAATTATTCGAGATTTTTATTTAAAGTCAATATTATAGTATGGTAATACTTCAAAGCAACATTTTACAATGTTTATACTTTTTAACAAAATTCTTTAATGATCCATGAACCAATAAAACAATTTAATGAAACCCAGTTGGTTTTTTTTTCTTTATACTTATTTTTGAAAAACTTGGTTTGTGCTTTAGAACATTAGGGTATAGTATAGTATTAAAAAATAGTAATAATAAAAGCACTATTCTATATATTTGGTCTTTTTTTTTCTTTTCTTATAAATGTTTTTCAATAGAAATATTTTGTAAAATATTGGTAACACAGATGTTTTATCATACCCTTGTATCGTAAATGTCATTTGTAAGTACTCTGCTCATGCCAAAGTCAGATATTTTGCATGTGTTATGTTTATCAACTAAAATATTTCTTGCAGCAAGGTCCTAAAAATAATATTAATTATATTAGTTATTATAATAATATAAGCAATACACTATTGTTTATTATACATACTGTTTATAATAAACAATAGTGTATAATACAATGGTATAGGTGTTAAATATTTTCACAATAAAACAAAAGGTTTACAATTAGACAAGATGGTATCATAATTATGCTTGTTATATAAAAAGGTAAATTTTGTTTAATCTTTTTTTTCAGTTATGGTTTTTTCGTTCAGAATTCAATATTGAAAAGCAATTGTTATAAAAATTGACATCAGTTTATATGATTGTAGTTATGATAGATATGTTTATGGATGTGTAAGTTTTTGTTGAATTATTCTCAAAAGTAACATTTATCTATTTTGACTTATAAATAAAATCTTTGCTTTTTGTTTAAAAAAAAAAAATGTACTAATCAATCTGAATCTGAAAATCCAGTTAATAACAAATATTCTAAGCAGAAAAAAAATTTAACGCTATTGTTGAAAAAGGTTTTGCTGCAAACCTGATTCCCATTAATTTACTATTTACCTCTTTCAAAACCTCTAATATGTTTTTCCTAAATAATCCATTTTCTTTTGATTTCAAACAATTTTGTTTTTACAAATTTGTGTGTAAGATGCAATTACTGTTGATAAACTTTCTTACCAACTTAAAACACAAATAACTGGATACTACAAGAGAGAAAAAAACTCACACATTTACAAACATTTATGCTAAAAATAATTGTTTTGTAAATAAGAAAGTATTGCTTCTCAGTGTTCCTTCTCTAAGGTGAGTCTTCAGCTCATTTAATGATCCTGACATGTTTATAAAATTTTATTAATACTTCATATTGGTAAAACATGTTAACACTTGGATGGTTTTCTTAGATATTTCCGTAGATAATAGCTTTTTTGTGTTTTTAGATTGCATCCATTCTAAAAATTAAATTTAATTTAAATGGTTTATGCTTCACAGCTAATGCATTGATCATTCAGTGTACTTGTATATCCAGTGTACTCTATCAATTTTTAATTTAAATAATTTTTGACTTTTTGAAACTACCATAATGTAACATCCAGAATTATTTATAATCCAGCATCAAGTTGCAATCCATTACATGATTAGAGTCATCCAACTAATCTGATTCTAGAGTTACTCGTACTAATGTGATTGTTTTTGTTTTTTTAATTCTATACTTTGATTGGAGTTATATATATAGTTGACAGAATCATTGATGGTTGCCATTAAATACAGGTGACATAATGGTTGAAATAGCTTTTTGCATTGTGTTTTATTCATAACTACTGTTTAGCTATCAAAAAAAGAATTTCTGCTCAAACCAAAACTCTTCGTAAATATATGTACTTGGATGAACCTATGGTTGAATCAATGTAAACGTTGTATCAATGTATCAATGTAAACATACTCTGTTGTTCTTATTGCTATATCAGTTAATTATGTTACTGTCACAGTTGATTACTTTGCAAAAAAATGGAGGAAAAAAAATAAAAGTAAAAACTCAATCAAAAAATATTAAAGATTAGTCATTTATTAATTGACAGTTTTGCCTGAGCATGACTCATGTGCATGTTTAGTTTTTACACTGACGAGTCTCAGTGCTTGGGTGAATTATATTTTGGCTCCCTAGAAATGTTCTATCTGTAATTTTTCTATTTCATTTCACTCTATTTAAATTTTCTTAGTAAATTTATATATTCTAATATAGCTTTATGACAATATTAATAAAATAGTTGAACCCTATGTATATATCCAAGTTCAGATAGATATTTCATTCCAGATGCAATGCCACGTGACATTCCTAATAGCTGAGCAGCTGAAAATTCTAATTCATGCTTCTAAAACAAAAACAAAAAAATTTAATGATAAAAAGTTTGCTAATTAAAAAAATAAATAAAATTTACAACTATTATTGGTTGTTGTAAGTATTTTACATAATTTAATTTTACATAATAAAAGTGCATGTTAGAGTAAAAAGTTTATACGTAAACGAAATGAAAATATATTAGAATTTTTAAAAATAAAACAATTAGCAAAATTAAATTCTATCAATTTCCTTAGTTTTACACAAGAAAATACAGTCAAAAGTATGTTTTTTGTTCTTGTTCTTGTTATGTTATTTATTTCATTTGTTATGTTTTTTTGTTACGCTTTCTTTTTCTTTAAATTGAGAAAACAAAAATTAAGTTTGATACTTTTATGGCATGGTGGTGGTGGTGGTGGTGGTGGTGGTGAATGATGGTAATGGTTGTGATAATGGTGGAGGTGATGATGATGATGGTGGTGGTGGTGGTGGTGGTGGTGGTGGTGGTGATGGTGATGGTGGTGATGGTGGTGGTGGTGGTGGTGGTGATGATGATGATGATGATGATAATGATGATGATGATGATGATGATGATGATGATGATGATGATGATGATGATGATGATGATGATGATGATGATGATGATGATGATGATGATGATGATGATGATGATGATGATGATGATGATGATGATGATGATGATGATGATGATGATGATGATGGTACCTCTGATTACTATATTCCGATTACAAGTAACAATTGCAAGTACTGCTGATTACTTCATTTTACTTTGTTTGGATTGGTTGTTATTTTTTTTTTATTTACTGTTTGGATTTCTTATTTATCCTGATCAGTCTCCCAGACCAGTCTAGTATACAGTAGGTAAAGTGACTTGTTGGTCTCTTAATCCTTTATAGTCATTTTTTGATATTATATTGTTGGCAAAACCCTTTCTTTTATATTTTTGGCCTAATGTTCTGTCTCCACTATAATAATCATAAAATCAAAACATATTAAAGATGTTACTGACTTTATAATAATAGTGTTGATGAACAATTTAGTGTAATTTTAGTGTAATATGATGTAATTAAAACAATGATAGTGTCAGATAATGTTATTGTAAATATGATAAATGATGTCAGATATCTATCATCATTTTAATTTCATTTATTTTTAATGTAAATATTTGATTATGATGTTTTTTATAATTATGCTAATTTAGTTAATTAAAATATATTATGTCATAGTTAACAAATTTTATATTATAGTTGTACATTTTACAATATATTGTAATATTATAATATATAAATAATATAATATATTAATATATTATATTAATTATATTTGTTTACATTTTTTATGTGAATTTAAAAAAATATTATCTTTTTTTTTTTTTTTAAATACTTTTTTTGTAGTTGAAGGAAATAATTACTGAGTATAGAAACTTAAACTTGACTTATCAGTTATACAAAATAAAAGAATTCTATCATTTTTTTAAATGTACTTCTTGTAAACAAGCATCTAGTGAAATATATTACTTGTAAATAAGCATCTAGTGACCCATTTGGCATGAACTCTAACACAATCATATTTGAGCTATCTAAAATAAATTTATAAACATTACAACCAACGTTCCTAAAAATCTTTAAAAAAAGTTTGTGATTAAGAACAATAATAACAACAACAACAACAACAACAAAAAACAATTTAGTATATAGCTATGTGAAATTTTGTTACTATTACTATTTTTATGTGTTTAGTTTAGAGTTACTAAAAAATTGAGGGGAACATTACCAAATGTTACTAGAAGATTTATAAAAGACTAGTAAGATTATTAATAAAAAGTAGTTTTTTATTCAGGCCACGACAAATCGACGTACAACCCTTTGTTGAAAAAATACTGAAAAATTAATATCATGTTTCTTTGCTTTTACTTATACAAACATTGATGTTCACTTGAATTTTTTTCAAAATGAACTCATTACTTTAGCAATTTTTTTTCTAAATAATTCAGGGTGGCCAGTGGTCCTTGAAAACTTTGAAAACCTGGAAATGTCCTGGAAAAGTCCTGAAAAAGGACTCCTTTTAGCAATAGATCATAGAACTATTTTTTGAATTAGTTCAATATTTTGTTATCATGTTTTTATCTTTTACATAAATATTAATATTACATAGATTTCTACTGAATTTATTATGTATTTTCTGAATGCAAAAATTTTTTTGTTAACTGTTACTGTCGGTATTATTAAAATCTTCTAACTATTTAGAGATTATTATATATAACTAATTTTAATACAATATAATTTTTATAACTAATTTAATTTAATACAATATAATTTTTATAACTAGTTTAGAGAATAACTAATATAAAGCTTAAAATAAAGAACTGTAATTTTCAAGCAGAATGGCTATCCAACAAAAAATATTCTTCTTGGGTAAAATCTTGTACTTCAAGTTCTGAGAAAGCAAAATGTAGTTGGTGCAGAACGGATATTAATATTTCTAACATGGGAGTACCTGCCTTGGATTATCATGCAACTGATAAGAAGCATAAATTTAATGCAAAGAAACATAATGCAGCAGATATATTTTTTACTGGTAGCTTATTAGTATTTTATATTAATTTAAGTTTTTTTATTTTTATTTAAATATGTTTTCCTGAATTTTGAAAATCTTGTAGGAAATTGATTGGTTGTGGATGTATCAATGGGTGGTCCTAATATTAATTGGGCGGTTCTGAAAGTATTAGATAAATACAGACAGAAAAAAGAATATTGTTGTATAGTTAATATGGAGAATTATAGTTGTTTGCTGTTCATTGTTCACATTGTTCATTGTGACTTACAGACAGCAATAAATTACCAAAAGTGGGAATTAGAAAAAATATTTTGTGCAATTTATAATCTTATAAAATTTACCTGCTAAAATAGATAAATACATGATTAAAATAGATACATTGTATTCAGAAAATTTTTTTTTTTGAATTGTATTCAGAAAAAAAGATAAATTACTTTTGGAAAACCAAAACTAATTTATCTTTTCTTTATATAGTCAAGAAATACAGTTTCTCTCGATGCAAATAATTTTACAATAGAAATTTTCGCTGGGATATGGATACCAGCATCATTAACTTGTAAAATATACATATATATATATATATATATATATATATATATATATATATATATATATATATATATATATATATATATATATATATATATATATATATATATATATATATGTATATGTGTGTGTATATATATATATATATATATATATATATATATATATATATATATATATATATATATATATATATATATATATATATATATATATATATATATATATATATATATATGTATATATTAGGGCCCTGCGAAGCTTTGAAATTTCAAATCGAATCGAATTAAATAAGTTTATTCGAAATTCGATTCGAAAATCTGCATATTTTCGAACCAAGGTTTCTTAATATACTTTCAAAATTAGTATCTAACGCTATAAATGATTTTTAAATATAGGTAGAATCCTTTGATCTCTAACGCACAGAAATTTTCATTGATATAAAGCGGTATATTACTTTGAAAGAATCAGCGCAAGAGAACCATTAATCTCCTACTTCTATTAACAAGGAAAACATAGGTTTACACTTCATGAATGACCCCTCAACAGAATAAAAGCTCAACTTTCAATTATAAGTTATAAAATTGTTTTAATTATTTTAATTAAAGGAATCAAAAATTACTTAGATTTGTCACACGTTTATTACTTAAATAAAAAAGCATTATTTTCAAAATTGACTTTTGATTTCAAATACTCTTTTCATTTCACTAACTCTTTCAAATTACTATATTTCAATTTATACAATGGTAGCAGTTATTAAGTTGTACTTTGAATTAAAAGATCAATTTTGTTTATGTAAAATGTACAAAACCACTTAACGTGTACAAAACACTGGCACAACATCACATCTCTGGGGTCACTTGGAAAGAAAACACAAAACACTTCATATTCAAGCTGAAGCAGAGTGAACAAAAAACCGTAAATTGTCAAAACCAGATGCAGTTGTTCGAAAAAATTGAAACAAAGCGCTATGTCAGATTTTCTTAACTAGCCTATCTCGATTGAATACAAGAAAATATGTGACCAAGCTGTAATGGAATTTATCATTGCAGATGGACCTTCTTTTGAGACTTTGGCTGGTAAGGACTTTAAAAAATTGTGTTCGACTCTTACTAATACAAATTATAAACCTCCCCATCCATCTACTCTTTCACGTAAGATAAATGACTTAAAAACAGTGTCGAAAAGTAAATTTAAAACAGTAATACTTGCGGAAATGTCAGGTTGTAAATGTTCCATTACTTTTGATCATTGGAAAGCTACAAATAATAGCAACTATTTAGTTTTAACGTTACATTATATAACTCTAACAGAATGGAAGCTAAAATCGTGTTGTTTATCTGTGGTAAATCTTGAAGATATTGATGCAGATCATACTTCTCAAAAAACAAGAGGTTATTATTAATCAACTGCAATGTTCAAATATTGAAATAGACATCGTTCTATGTGCGACCACAGACATGACACTGCTAGTCTTTTAGGAATTACATGGCAGCCATGTGCTGCACATGTTCTTCAACTATGCATTAAGAGTGCTTTAAATGTTTAATAACAAGTTAAAATCCTTATTAGTTTGGTACACAAAATTGCAGGTTTTTTCAACAGTTCTTCTGTAAGTCAAAAATGTTTAAAGAAATGTCTTCCATGAATATTCCAAAAATGTTCCAATGAATTCCAAAAATGACTTCCAAAATCATGTCTACCACTTGATATTGTTACTAGGTTTAACAGTACATTTAAACTTCTGAATTGGTCATGTAAAAATTGTACTGCAATAACAATGGCTCTTACAGAATGCACTTCAAGTGGTAGATGGGTAAAAACTCCTTGTCAAGCTTTATCAGTGATGATGCAATATATTCAAAAAAAGTGTAATCCATTTTTAAAACATTTTTAAAACCAATTTCGGACACAACAACACTACTTAGTTCTGATACTATCAGAAGCTATAGCTGTCAGTTGTAGCTATCAGTTTAGTTAAACCTTACATTTATACTTTAAAAGTTCAATTAGATTCATTAAATTGTAGCTTTATGAGCAATTTTAAAAAGGAGTTATTTTCACAACTACATGCATGCTTTAATTTAGAAAATGTTACGCTCCTTACCTCAACATATTTAGACCCTAGATTTAAAGCTGTAATTCACACTAAAAACGAGCTTTCAATTGTGAAAAACTATCTAATTAAAATTTTGTTGATTTTAAACCATGCAAAACTACTCGTTGTGTAAATTCTATCAATTACGAAGTAATTGAAAACTTATCTAAAAATTTCCTTGACGATGTATTTAAACAAGTTAAGGAAAAAGATTCTGAAAAACATAAACTTTTACAACTAAACTCTGCAAAAAGACATATTGAAAATTGCGTTGTTTAATATTTTCCCTGTTTTTTCGCATGCGACTTGATCTGTATTATATGTACAAGCAATAAGTTGTTCTTCTGAATTAGTCAACTCAACTGGCGGAAATGTAATAAGCTGTTTATGTCATTCTCTATCTAATAATAATGCTGAAACCTTGATTTGGGTGCGAAAAAATAAAGATATTTTATTTTATTTTAGGGGAATACAATGCAATTGTCTTTGTTTTTGAGTGTCTTTAAATAACTTCAAGCTATTCCAAGAAAGTTGACAGGCCTTGTATGAAAGTAAAAGAATAAATGGAATGTGAAGTCCTTAATGAAGTTTTTTTTTGAAATATATACTATAAAAAAAATGCTTAAGTTTAGATTTCCTCAAAATGTTGATTCGATTTCTAATTCGAATTGCAAATCAAGACCTGCTTTGATTCGATATGCGATTAAAAAAAAAATGCTGATTTGCAGAGCCCTAATATATATATATATATATATATATATATATATATATATATATATATATATATATATGTATATATATATATATATATATATATATATATATATATATATATATATATATACACACACATACACATATATATACACACACATAAATTAATAATAATTCAGCTTTAATAATTTTTTTTTATTATATTACAGTTTATGTACAACTCGCTGAGTAGAAGCTAAATCTGTGGCTTCTAGAGGAATTGATGTATGGCCAATTAGATTAAAATTATAAAATATTGAGAATCAGTGTGCAAAAGCAGACTTTCCAAAAACAAGAGCTATGAAACTCTTTTAGATTATTATCTTGACAAGTTTGTACATTTGCAAATGCTGTTTTTTAAAGATCTTGCTGAAAAATTGAAAGGATTCCTAGTTCTTTTTTAAACAGACAGACCTATGGTGGCATTTTTATCGAACAGTTTAGAATATTGTTTCAAAATTTGATAAAAATGATTCTCAAATCAAACATTTTAAAAGAAACTGCAACAGCATTTAGTTTAACAAAATTTGAAGTAGAGAAATCAAATAGCCAACTAGAAGTAAACCAAATTGACATTGGAACACCACTGAAACAGATGCTAAGCTCTCTTTATTGTAAACCAGATGAGATATTAGAATTTAAGAAAGAATCATAATGTTATTGCAAAAATTACAAGAAAGATGCCTATTGAAGTATTCTTTAGTGAAGAATTCTTTATCTTTGACTCCAAATAAAATGGTTAAAAACAAGGTATTCAATCTGAAATTCAAGAGTCTTGCTGAGAGATTAAATTAAAATGGCTTTCAACTGACGGTGCGATGATGCACAGCAACAGTATGATAAATTTGTTGGTGCAGAATGTGTTGAATTTAGAGAAAAAGTTTGAGTTCTTTAATGAATTAACTGATTCAGTTGATAAATTTCTTGGTGTCTATCTGCACAAAACTCAAATGTTTTCAGCATTGTGGAAAGTCTGTGCTATCATTTTTGTTTTATTTCATGGCTAATCTGCAATAGAACGAGGATTCAATGTTAACAAGCAGTTGTTAGTAAAAAATGTACAAAAGAATAATTTTTGTTTCCCAAAGAATAGTTGACATTGTTATTCATCAGTGTGAACATCCGTGATTTTTTAAAAAGCTGTTAGTTAACATACAATAGGTTCAATGTTGAAAGAAAATAAGGATCAGTTAAAGTTAGACGAAGTAAGCAAGAAATGTAAATTGATTGATAAAGAAATTGTAATTATAAAGCAGCAGAAAGAAAATTTTACAAAGTGCATCACAGTTCTTAAAACTGATGCTGTCAAGTAAATTGAAGAACTCTTGGAAACAACACAGCCCACTTAAACCACTGAGCTATTGGAGATATATAATATTCAACACTTTAAAAGTGGGTTTTCTAAATAAGCACAACTTTATTGCATAGCAGCTTGTAACTTTATTGCATAGCAACTTGCAACTTTATTGCATATGTAAATAATAAAATAATAAAAAAACTTGTTATATGCAACTGTAAAAAATTCCACTTATATAGTGTTATGTACAAACATCTACTGTGATATATATCTGAAACTTTATTTGTCATGAATTTAATTTTTTCTTTGTGTTTTTACACTTTGCAGTTTAAGATTTTTTTGTAACTGATTGTATAATCTTTGAGATGTTAAAAAGTGAAACAAATTGTTTCTTTTACTATTGACCAGCAATCAAGATATGTAATATGATTTTTAGATAGTAAAGAAATAAAACAACGAACACCAGCATGTAAACTTTTAATTAAAACAATTAAAAAGTGCTTGAGATCTGAACAGCTAACATTGGTATACAGTTAATATAAAAGAAATTTGATTAGATGTTCGAGTATCATTAATGACAAAAGTTGTTTAACTGTTAAACTGCGAGTGCTGCTACATCATACAGCATGCCGATGTAGCAGCACTTCACTGCGAGTCAGGTTATTTATCAGTTGATGTATGTACTGAAGCCCCCGGTAATAGGCTATTTCAATATGACATCACACCGCTTACCTAAATCAGCAGTATAAGATATATATATTTATATATACAACATATTTTGTTTTTTTCTGGTCAAGAAAAGATCAATATATCCTTGAAAAACTGCAAATTATTCTTAAAAAGTCCTGGGAATCTCCTGGAATTTTAAATTAGCTTTTGGCTGGCCTTCCTGTAATTATGTAATTGATAAATTTTTATTTGTTATAAAAAACATATATTTATAATAAAAAAATAATTAGTAACTAAAATTTAAAACGCCTTAAAAAGAAACCATGCTAAAACATGATTTTCTTTAATATAGTTACATTTAAGTAAAACACGCCAAGTAATTATGTTTTAGCATGTTTTTTGCATGCGTTTACAATAGCATGCAAAATTTTACTTAAAATGAATGCATTTGCGATTACTTTAAAAGAATGTTTAAATATTTTATTACTTTTTTTAAAACATGCTCTTTTTTTTTTAACTTTTTTAATTTTCCTTTGAAAAGTGAAGTTTAATGTTTGTGCGTATATTAAAAATATTTAAAAAATTTTTGAAATTAATTTTAAAGTTTTGTTGAAATATATATAATCTAATAGAATATATAGAATTGTTATGTTTATTAGAGTTTTCATTTTTTATTGTTTTAACAACACCATAAATATAATACTTTTATTAACTTATTATTAAATACCTTACATGATATTATTTTAAAACGTTTTTAAAATACCAAAAATGTTTTTTCTTTTTGATGTTAAAGATTTTTATTTCTTGAGAGTTTTTTTTATTAGTAAATAAATTAAACAAAAACTGAAATAAATTCACTACTTCGTATCAATTGATAACAGTTTACAATCATTAGGTCATTGCATATTCAGCCCTTTGAATTAGAAAATCTCGACCTTAAACTGTTAGAGGTTGGAAAAAAAGTTTTAACACAAAGATCTTACCATAAAACCTAAAAATGAGGTCGGCGATTATTTGCCAACCTTAAACACTTTTAGTTTGGCAATTAGGTCGACATTGCCGAATGCCAACCCTAATTTTGAGGGCTACATATTAATTATCAATTTGTGCCCACTTTGTAAATGTGTTTAAAATTGTTTTGAAAAAGTAAAAATTGATTAGATTCTTTTATATATTCTTTGATATACCTAATAACTTATTAACTAAAAAAATATGGTATGATAATAAAATTCCCTTATTGGGCATGTTTCTCCTAAATCAGACGTTTGCTAAAAAAATAAAGATATCAATGTTCTATAAAAAAAAAAGATTTGTTGCGCCCTTTTATATTGTTCTAATTTAATGACCAACATTAAAAAATTATATATATATATATATATATATATATATATATATATATATATATATATATATATATATATATATATATATACTCTTGCATGTCTCTTGCGTGGCATCAAAAAATATTTCCCATAAACTGTAGTTTTAAAGAGCGCGTTAATAAACCAGACCAGAAAAAGTTTTAAAAATTAAATTTTTTTTTTTTAATTGATAGACTGCCTGGCCAAACCAAACCCTCAGTCGATGTAGCAGCACTCTCTTGCGAGTCAGGCTATTTGTCAGTCGTTGTAGCAGCACTCCCTTGCGAGTCAGGCTATTTGTCAGTCGATGTAGCAGCATTCCCTTGCGAGTCAGGCTATTTGTCAGTCGATGTAGCAGCACTCCGTTGCGAGTCAGGCTATTTGTCAGTCGATGTAGCAGCACTCCGTTGCGAGTCAGGCTATTAGTCAGTCGATGTAGCAGCACTCCGTTGCGAGTCAGGCTATAAGATAGTCGATGTAGCAACATTTACGCATGTTTAAAAAATGTTTTTTATTAAATCAATAACAAAAACACCACTAATTAAAAAAAACTTTCTAGTCGTTATAATTGCGGTTTTTTAAAAATTTTTTAAAAAACAATTAAATTTAATGTACTTCCGCATAAATTAATTGCTTTGACATTTCGATGACAATCAAAAACAGCTTAAGAGACGAGGTAATTAAAATTGTAGTCGTAAGAGACTTTTTTTACAATAAAATGCTCTTAAAGCGACACTATATGAGTATATATATATATATATATATATATATATATATATATATATATATATATATATATATATATATATATATATATATATATATATATATATATATATATATATATAATAGTAATAATATTAACAAAAATAATAAAAAAACATTTTTCTTTACTCACTTTTGAGAATGATTCCTTCAAGTTTAATTACATTAGGATCAACAAATTGTCCCAAAATTGCAGCTTCACTTAAAAAGTCATCTCTTGCACGTTTTTCAGAATTAGGCTATAATTTTAAACAACTTTAAGATAAAACAAATATTGGTTTATTTTGTTTAAGTGATAAAATAATTTTCTTTGTTAATTTAAAAAGCATTTAAGTTCAGTAACCCTTTATTACACACATTTTTAAACAAAAAAATTTTAAAAATGGACAATTCCAATTCAAATTATTACACTTTAGAACATTGTTAAAGTTTAAATGCAAGTTGTAATCACTTCAAAACTAAGCAATGTTAATAAATCAAAAAGAAACGCTGAAAAGTTGATATTATTTTAAAATAAAAGTAATTATGTATTTTTTTCGGTATGTTGCCATTGGCACCATTATGTAGGAAATGGTTAAAAGATATCGTTTAGTATAATAAGTTTTTAGACTTACTTTCAGAATTTTGACAGCAACAAGTTTTGTTTCATTGCTTTTGCAAAGATGTCCCAAGAATACATCTCCATATTCACCACTCCCTAGTAATTCACCCAAATGAAGATCACTTTGGTTAAGTTCCATTGTGAAATTGTAAACAGCTTTGTCTAAGTCAATGCAAGTGGTTGGATCAACATATGTTTTTCCAGTATTGTAGAAGTGAAATTTTTTGAGTTGGACTAAATGATATGAAATATGCAATCAATTTATGTTTTGAATGTTATCTATTTTTCTTTCTTTTTCTTTTTTTTTTTCATTTATGTTTCCTTTTTGATGTTTAATTTTTTTATCAATTAAATCTGATTTATAATGTTGCTTAAATTATATATCTGTGATATATATTATATATCAAAATACAGATAATATTTTAAATACAGATTTGTTCAACACAACACCATTTTTGTTTCCACTTTTACACTATCGTTTAATAAAATTGATGACATTGAATGGAAAAAGACATGGATGAAGATTCGTATATATAATATGAATCTTATCATCTTATCTATATTAGACAATAAGCAGGAACTTCAGTCTTAAATCGCAAATATTATTATTGAATGAGTATTTAACTAAGATCAAGTTTCCCTATTATAAAATCATTTTTATTAATACCAAGTTTACTGGTAAAGTAAAGAGGTGTAATAATATTCAATCTGTGTGTTATTGGGGTTAACTTGAAATGGTAATCTGTGTCCTGGAAAGATTTTTTTAAAGGGTACAACAAACAGCTATAGCTTTTTATTATAGTACACAAGCAGTTCAAATTTTTATTGATTTTGTTCTGTTATATTATTTTGTTCAAGTTGATGATGATTATTAGTATTGCCATCCTTGCAAAGAGATGATACTTTGCAAATAATCAGTTAATGAGTGAGAGAGGTAAGGAGGGGGATAGAAAAAAAGAATAAGTTCATTACCGTTAATAAATTTACCGTTAATAAAATAAATTTACATTATCATAATTTTGAAGCAAATGTTTATTAAATAGGATTAAATCTTATTTGTTAATAATATTATTAGTACTTTTTGTTTCCTATTACTAACTATTACTGTATTTAATTCTTAAATTAATACAAATTTATAATTTGACTTTAACATGATCAGGCGTAAAACGATTAATTTTATCTCATCACTTTTTTGTGTCATAATTGTCTGTTGCTTTTTTCCTAATTTTTTCTTTTGTTAATATGATTATGTCATTAAATGAACATAGTTTGTGAAATAAATTGTCACCTAGTGAAATTTAACAATAATCAATTATCGGCTCTTCTTCATCATTCATATTAAAATAATGTACAGCAATAGAAAACATTTTTGTGTTTCCTTTATTTGAAGCGTCTGGTAAAATGCTGAACAGTAGGTGCGTCGAATTTGTTTGAGTATATTCACTCACAACCAATTCAAGAGCATACAGAGCTAATAAATTTTGAACAATTGGTTTTGTTTTAGTTCTACCAAGCTTCATTTTCTTAGAATTTAAAAATATTGTTAATTTACTTTACTTCCGCATTTCATTGATAAAAGGCTATGGTGGGATTTTACTCCATGGTAGATATATGAAATTGCATGTTCTGTGGTTTTTTTTTATGTTTGGCGTATCGAGCATCGGGCAATGCATTGAGTAAGCTATATTTTTTGATGATTTTTTGACTCCATCTGTGTTTTTTAAAGCTTTTAAACCATTTCAGTTAATGCTGAACCTCACATTACAAACGCAACAGTTTTCCATTTCATTATCTTCCTCAACCAAAATGCAACCATTTAGATTACTCAGTATATTGCAGCTATTCCTTATTGAATTTACAAGTACTTTTTTGTTTTTTTGTTTCTGTAATTGATTCCATAATGAGGTGTTTCACTTAATCAATATTTATTTATATAATATAAAATATAAATAGAATATAATGCATAAATATCCCGCATATAACAATAACAATAAATTTAAATAGTCTTTCTAATTTCCAACAATTTAAAATAAATTAATAGCACAACAAATTGTTGTTTATTTTTTTAATCCTTTTATTTTTATTCAAAAAAAAAATAAAACAGACAAACCTTAAAAAGAAAAAAGGAATAAGAAAGATTCATAACCAGAAAAGTAGATAGTATTAATAAATAAAATATATAAAGTTGATTGATATTATTAATAATAAAATGAAGTCACTTTGTGTTTTCATTTTTTGTAAGTGTTCGATTTATTTATTTCCAAAGCAAAAAAGTTAAATTAATTTGAACAAAAAAAAAAAAAAAGAAGAGCCATTATACTTAAAATGAATTTTGTCTGCAATAAATTTTATCTGTATTTAGATGCGACCACCCAAATTAGGTGATAAGGTATGATCACCCAAATTAGCTTAAATTTAAAATATATTGTATCAAATACATTATTTAGTTCTCTAAAAGTTAAAATTGTAGTAAAATCCTAAGAAAACAGGAACATTTTTGGTTTCACCTGGACACTCAAAGTAAAACTCAAATTGATCAGGTGATTTCCAGACAGGTGGCAACACTGATGATGATGATGATGATGATGATGATGATGATGATGATGATGATGATGATGATGATGATGATGATGATGATGATGATGATGATGATGATGATGATGATGATGATGATGATGATGATGATGAATGATGAATGATATATTACTGTGTTATATAAAAATACTTTTTTAACACACTTAATAATATAGAATTATATTTTATTACTTGCTCCATCTTCACTTCTAGTGATATATAAATGAGTTGGATGTCTTTTTCGCCAATAGATAAATAAAATCAACAAGATTATCAAAATGAAAATTATGCCACCAGCAGATCCACTCAGAATCATGTATTGGTCATTTTTTCCTCCTTTTAAAAATACATCTACTGATATGGATGTTTGACTTCTTTGAAATAGTAGGTTGTGCAGATACGAAACTGCAGTGATCTTTAAATACAATTTTTCATTAAGCATACAATGTTTTTATATATCACTAATTAGTTTTTAATACTGATTAATAATAAAAAATAAAAATAAAAACTAATTATAAATGTATGATTTAATTGTTTGTTAAAAATTTTTTAAAGTATATTTGACAAAACAAAATTTACCTTTACAGTTTGGGTTGTTGATGAAAATCGTGGGTTTTGCATTCTAAAACTGTGTTCCTTTATTATGAACACATTACTACCATATGCAACTTCATAACGTAAGTCATCGCTACCAACAACAAGAGGTGGTTTCCATTCCAAAGTAACTACTCCATTTGGGTCAGTTCTTTCCAAAAGGTTTGTAATTGCTCCAGGAGCTTTAACGAATTCAAAGTTAATTTAAAGTAATATTTTCAAAAGATCTTATTAATAATTTTTTTTAATATATATATATATATTTTTTGCTTACCTCCTGGTAAAGTCATAAATGATTTGATTTGATGATTTTTTACACCAATTAGATGTGTTATATTGTTTACTTTATAGATTTTTGCTTTGTACTCTGTGTATGCTTCTAATCCATTTATATTAACGATGGTGGAGTATGTTTCTATTGTTTTATTTATGTTTACAATATTAATAATAAATTTACCATACTTGTTTGAACCAGGATCACCTTCTTTCCAACTTAAAGTCACTGAACTTGCAGTTGCGTTATAAACAATGATGTCTATTACATTAGAAGGGGGAGCTTTGTAAAATAAAAAAAAAAGTTTAAAAATCAATTTTTTAAACTTTGGTTCATATTGTTTAATCTAAAATTTATTCCTTTAATCAAAAAATATTGAGAAAAAAAAATATTAAAAATAGAGAAAGAGATTAATAAAATTCTTTCGATCAAACTATTTTATAAATAATTCAGTGAATGATTTAAAAAATCCAGTGAATGATTGCAACCCTGTGAAAAAAATCTAATGAATGATTGCAGTGATAAGATCAAATATATAAATATTAAATCTTCAATATATAAATATTAAATCTGGATATTAATTAACCCCTGCAAATTAAACGTGATTCAAAGGATGTAACTTTTACTTTTGTCCTTTTATACATAATAAGTTTATTATTGAATTTGGATCAAAAGACGCAAAAATTATTATGTCGATCAAGGGTGCATATAAATCAAGTGTGGTTTTAGCCTATTATAAAGAATACAAGTACTATTATAAAAATTAATGGTGCATACTTGTTGGTATATTTTTCTATATATCATATTAATATAAAAATAAAAGTAGTCTCGTCAATGATAGTGGTCCTTAGGACCTTAAATCGATAAATATATTGATACAATTATTGATTGTTTTCATAGGTTTGGTATATAGTTTATACTTTTGTAACATAAAGTTATAAAAACTTTGATTAAACAATAACTTTTTTTTTTTTGTTTAGTTTTTTTAATTTTTTAGTTATTTAGGTGTTCCAAGAAGTCCTCTCGATCTTATCATAGAGCACTGCAAAACCAGGAGGTCCACCCTTCCTTCCACCCTTCCTGATTCAAATTAGCTAATGTTCAGTATATTAGAATAAAATACAAATTCATAAATTAAAAAAAGATTTTAATAGATTAATGTTTTAATTTTTTAATAAATTAGAAACAATTTATATATAAATTAGCAAATATTTTAATTTTAAATAAATTAGCAAATTATTTTATATATAAATTCTAAAGTGTTTTAATTTATTAGAAAGTATATTAATTTATAAATAAATTAGTAAATATTTCAATTTATCATTAAATTAGAAAGTATTTTAATTTATTAATAAGATTTATAAGATTTTTACTTATGATTAGAAAAAAACTTATGAATAACGTATGTTCACAGCAGGCATAATACAGATATACAGGTTGACAGATATACAAACATTTAAAAAAAAAAATTTATGAAACATTTTCTCAAGTTTTCTAACAATAGATTTTTATGATTTAGAACAAAAAAATAAATTTTTATTGATTTCTTTTAAATCCTATAAAATTTATTTAAAAACTCATAAAGAGTTAATTATAATATCGTTAATTCTTACCATAACAGCTAACATTACCATATTCTTTATCTTTATCAGGTCTGTAGAAGTTCTCATTGCACAAGCAAGTGGTGGAGATACTTATGGAATTTTCTCCACAGCTAATGCACTTTGAATTGCCAGAAACTGGCTTATATGTGGATTCAGAACATTCTTAAAAAATGAGATAAATAATAAATAAATAAAAAATGAGATAAATAAATAATAAATAAAAACTATTATTTCTCAAAAATAATAGTTTTTATTTATTATTTTTTAATAAATAAAAAATAAAATTACTAGTTTTTATAAATTCTCTCAGAATAATATTTTTTTTAATCAAAAAAATTTAAAATTGTTTTTATACGAGATATTACCTGCTCTAATCTGTCAGTTAATGTACATACACTTGCCCTATCTTTATTTAGAGTTTAATTGAGTTATATATATACATTGCTGTGTCTAGCAGGTTAGAGGCCCTCCCAAGAACCATTAAAGCCATTTTTCTTTAATAGTTCTTTGTACTTCGTTTTCGATAAGTCAAAAATAATTTTAAGAAAAGAATTTTTTAAATCCATCATTGATGGATGGTATTTGCTAAATTATTTGGAGCAGGTGGTTAAAATCTGTGTATATGTATTTTAGTTGGTCGTTCGGTTTTTTAAATGGTTATTAAAAGTTTTTAGCAAGATTGAGTGTCATGCCTAAAAAAGTTCACTGTGTTTAAGCTTGTTTTCATTTCTATTTTGAACCTAATTATTTAAAAAAAATTTCTATAACGTTTTTTCTAATTTTATTGCATTGTTTCTTAGATATATTTCAAAGTATTATCAAGCAAATTAGCTATAAACGTTTTTACTGCTTATAAAAAATGTTTTATATTTTCTTATTGTAATAGAGTGCAGGTATTTTAAGAGTTTTTACAACAATTAAAAATGCCACAACAAAAATTGAATAGTATATTAAGGTAATTAATATATAAAATATATAATTCATTTCATAAAATAAAAGTTATTATGCAATAATTTAAATTGTAATAGTTTATTATTTTATCAGTTAAATAATTTTATAATTTATTAATATAAATTAGAGTGTAATTAGAGTGTAATAATTATATATTAATCAGTTAGTCCAATATAATCAAAAGCATTTGCATTTCAATCTTTTAAAAAGCATTGTAATTTGCATTGTAATTACAATGCAAATTACAATTGTAAAGCATTGTAAGGCCAATCATGCCTTTTAAAAAGCATTGTAATTTTTTTTTTTAATTATACTTTTAGGAGAAAAAATTATACTTTTCTGAGAGCCATAAATTGCTCCTGTTAACCATTTTAGGGGAGTGTGGGGGAGAGAGAGAGCTAAAGCTCTCGCTTCCCATTAAAACCTATATATATATATATATATATATATATATATATATATATATATATATATATATATATATATATATATATATGTATATATATATATATATATATATATATATATATATATATATATATATATATATATATATATATATATATATATATATATATATATATATATATATATATATAGGGTAATGCAAGAGTCAAGTCAAAACTTGAATCGGCCAGCATTTTTGCAAATAGTGTCAAATGCCTGTTTGCACTATGGAGCGATACACACTTTGAGAATGTGGATTTATTACACTGCTTATTTGAGCATTATTATTATTGTGTTTTTTTAACACAATGTGAATTTCATAGTTGTTTTCACTGTTATCGTTCTATGTGCTCAAACAATTAAGCAATTGGCTAACGCTTTGTACTAATTGGGTTCACTACAGATGTTGTAAGAAGTGGTTGGCCTTGTAGTGCTTGTTTGACTGTTCAATTTTGTAAAAGAAGAGGATAACTTCATATCAAAAATCATGATGATCAATAAAGCTCATTTACACTTATGTGCTTATGTTAACAACCAAAATTTGCATTTTTTGGGCACAAAAAATCCACATGTAATGTAAGAAGATCCATTACATTTCCTCAAAGTGACTGTTAGGTTCTTAATTTTCAGTGAAAAAGTGGTAGGTCCTTATTTTTTTGAAGATGCAGATTGCACTTCTGTTACTGTAAATGGCGTTGCTGGCAAATGCTAAACAATTTTTCTTTGCCACAAGTTTCTGCATTGGATCTTGATCATTGTTGGTTTTAACAGGTTTTCTCACACTGCCCTGGTAACTAGATGACTCCAATTTTTAGCTTGAGTGATCTTTCATTTTAGAGATTTGAACTGGCCTTCCAGGTTGCCAGATGTAACAGTACCCGTTTTTTTCTTTTGGGGCTTTATATATATACACTTACTTTGGGGTTTATATATATATGTATATATATATATATGTATATATAAATTCATATATATATATATATATATATATATATATATATATATATATATATATATATTTACATGTATATTTATATATATATATTTATATATAAATACATATATATTTATATATATATATATATATTTGAATATATATAGATATAGATATATATACATATATAGATATACATATAGATATACATATAGATATATATATATACATATATACATATATATATACTATATGTATATATATATGTATATTTATACATATATATATGTATATATATATATGTATAAATATACATATATATATATACATATAGATATACATATAGATATATATACATATATATATACATATATGTAATTTAATTTTTGGTATAAATTGAAGTTTTATTAATTTGATCATTCATTTCTGATAAGTCTTTATTGATGAAACACAGTGTTAAATGAGAAAAAATTTTGCTAAGTGATTTTCTACTAATTTGTAATTGCTCTGTTCTTTTAAGAACATTGAGCACTCTTTTTGTAGAATACATTTTAAATTGTTTATATATATATATATATATATATATATATAATATATATATATATATATATATATATATATATATATATATATATATATATATTTATATATAAATATATTTATATTTATATATATATATATATTTTTATATATATATATATTTATATATATATAATTATATATAAATATATTTATATATATATTTATATATATATGTATATATATATATATATAATTATATATAAATATATTTATATATATATATATATATAAATATTATATATATATATATATATATATATATATATATATATATATATATATATATATATATATATATATATATATATATTCATATATAAATATATTTATATATATAAATATATTTATATATATATATGTATATATATATATATATATATATATATATATATATATATTTATATATATATATATATATATATATATATATATATATATATATATATATATATATATATCAGTTGCAATGGGTTTAAGTTATAAGTTTAATTATTTTTAGTTTTTATCTGAATGAAGTTGTTGACAAATAAAAGTGTTATATTGATATTTGAATATTTTAATATAACAGTAAAATAATAGCAAAGCTGTGAAACCAAAGATAAATGTTAAATATGTAAATATGGACATTTACGGAAAATTAACTGATAAATATGTAAATATTGACATTTATGATTCTTATTATAATAATCAGATTACTTATATGTATCTAATACCTTATATATTGTATTACAGACGTTTTGAGATTTTAGTTAATAGTTTTGCTATTAATTATATATACTTGTCAAGTGCAAGTCTTGTTACAATATACAAAGAAATTCTATATGCTTCTAATGTGTGTGTATATATATATATATATATATATATATATATATATATATATATATATATATATATATATATATATATATATATATATATATATATATATATATATATATATATATATATATATATACACACACACATAACTACATTTCACCTTTACAAGTCTCATTAATCTTTTCAAAACCTTTGTCACAAACACAGCTACTGTTTACAGTGTAGTTTCCATTAGATAAACATATCATAATGGGTGTTGATGCGCCAAGTTCATTTATTGCGTTTTCTATGCAACTTCCATTTACAACCAATTGTGCTACTTTAGTATTAGGAGCTGGTTTTAGTGGAAATTTTGCTAACTCTATTTGTGTATTAGAACATTCAAAGTAAAACAGATCAAAACTTTTAATTTCCCCGCAGAATCCATCTGCTTGAAAATCTATAAATATTCCTCCAGGTTTGTTAAAATCTTTTACTTCAATAATGAATTCTGATGTTTGAAATAATTGTGAACTAGCTGGCAAAGGTTCGGGTGGTATCAAAAAATAGTTTTTTAGTTCTGCCACATCATTGCAACTCATTGCTGTGTAAATTACTAAAGTGGTTTGTTTACAGCTCGATGAAGAACAACCTTTTATTTCCATTTTGATTTTTAAATAAATTGTACTGTAAGGTTGCACTATATAAAATTGAGATCGAAGAGTGCAATTTGGTGCATGACATAATTGAAGAACTCCTTCAGTAGTCTCGCCAAAAGTTGATCCACAACTATTGCCTTTAACCATCCAATTTTCTGTAGAACTAGGATTGCAATAAAATTGTGTCAAACTTTTTTGGCTGCATAGGATTATAGGTATTTGTATAAAAAGGTTGATAATTTTTTTCATTATTTTAAGTGTTTTAAATCTTTAACGAAAAAAAATTTTTATGCATTTATAAGTTTATATATATATATATATACATATATATGCATGTATACATACACACACCTAAATTTATTTATAAATATAATTATATATGTATGTATGAGTGAAAAGTTGTATATATATATATATATATATATATATATATATATATATATATATATATATATATATATATATATATATATATATATATATATATATATATATATATATATATATATATATATATATATATATATATATATATATATATATATATAACTTCCATATATATATATATATATATATATATATATATATATATATATATATATATATATATATATATACATGCACACACATACATACATACATACATACATACATACATACATACATACATACATACATACATACATACATACATACATACATACATACATACACATTCATATATACAAACATAAGCTAAATACTTATAGGTAAATACATAAATGTCAATATAATTTTTACTAAAAAATATTATTTATTTTTTTACTCATGATAAAAATTAACTACAGAACAAAAAAAAAAGTTTAATATAGGCTATTTTTTTATGAGATAATGTATTTAGGTCGTTAAATTTTATGTTGTCAATTTTTTTTATTATCAATACAATAACTTTATTATTTTTTTTAATTAACTTCCTTCTTTAAAAAGACTTTAAAAGTAATTATTTTACTCTGTTTTTTATGAAAAACTATAGTTCAAAATGTTTAATAAATAAATCTTATTGGTTTATGCATAAATTAATTGTTGTTTTTTATTTTTCCTACACTATTCTTTTTTCTTGAACGAAATTCTTGTAATATTATATTTACCAACATAAAATACATGTTTTTTATCATTGAACTTAATATTGTAATTTTTTTCACTTTTATACTATAGTTTGTGTTAATTTTTAAAGTTTAAACAATTTAAACTAATTTAATTTAAAATTAATAAAAGAACTTTTTTTTTAATATTTTAAGAATTGATTAAAAAGGTTAAAAATGTATTGAAATTAAATCAAATTGATAAAATGAATTTATAATTGATAAGTGAATAATAAAGTAAACTAATTTATTTTAGCAGAAATAAATAAATGATCAAAAATGAAGTTTTATTTTAAAAAGTATTTTAAATATTGGTTAAGTGATCGAAACATTGGTTGATTTAACAAGATAGTTTTATTCATGTTTTGTTAAAATGGAACCTGGACTTCCATGGCAACCAGTAAACTTAAAAAATGGAAAAATTGATAAAAGGCATCATAGCGATGGCGGAAATGTTTTACAAAGAGAAGATTTTTTTACAAGGCATCTTTCATTGGAAGAAGGAGTTAGTATTTTAGTTTTTTGATTTAAAACACTATTTAGATATTTTTTAATGATATAGAAAATTACTATTAAATGTCGATGTGTTGGAATATTTTTTGTTTAGGACATTTTTAAAGAGAACAATCCTGCTAGTCCAACTACTTCGCCAAATGTTGAAGCACGCGCTCGTAGAAATTTAGGTGTGAAACATTTTTTTTTTTTGTCCTTTTTTTGTTTTGTTTTTGTTTTTAATTTCTCTATCGAATTTACATTCCTTTTATAATTGTATTTTAAATTTAGATACTATTAAACAGGTTGATTCTGCTGTTCTTCAGATCCCATCTTCAAGTTTTATTGTAGTAAAAGATGGTTCTTTATTTACTTCTATGTTTATCAAACAAATTTGTGTGATGAGTTTGTGGTTTTTTTCTAGTTTTACCACGATAGTATTAAATAAATTCATCCTTACTACTTTAGATGGAGACCCTGGAATTTTAGGTTAAGATAAAATAATTAAAAATATTTTCTTTGTTTTTCCGTTATTTTTTCAGTTTTGTTAAGTTTTAATAACGATAAGTAAATTTTTATACAAGTTAATAAAATAAAATAAATAATTTTTTAGTTATGTTAATTATCAACAAAATATTTTTTATTTTTGTTTTGTTACTTGTAATATCACATGCATAATTTAAATTTAGTTAATTTTACCGAATAGTAGTTAGGTTTTTGATTATCTTACACGGGGTTACAATATTGAATTTGATAATTTCATTTTTAAGCTAAAAATGTTGATTACTTAACTTTAAAATTAAGTTTTTGACTTAAATATAATAGATAGTTTTGGTTGGTATGATGAGTTTAAAATTCGTAAAAGATTCGTGTTACTATGCTACTGAAATATACTATTAAAGTTTTCTTTAAGGTACATAATTTCAATAATGTACTTGATTTTGCAGGTGGAAGTCAACTTTTTATGACTACGATTTTTGGTAGCATAATGATGTATTTTCCTGTGTGTCGCCAAATAAGAAGTCGGAGTACGAAAAGCCATATTAATAGATATCATTTTTTTAAGACTATTTCTATTTTGGGGTGGCTCAGGTACGCATTTTTCTATTACACAATTACGTAATTACTAGATATATAATAATATACTATAAGCATTTAGTTAATTGATGTTTTTAAATATAAAAAAATAATCCTCATAAAAATTATATATATATATATATATATATATATATATATATATATATATATATATATATATATATATATATATATATATATATATATATATATATATATATATATATATATATATATTTATATATATATGTAAACGTTTATAATTTTTTTTATTTAGGTTTGGTGCCATAGCATGTTCAGTCATTTGTTTGAAATATGTAGCAGTTTCGTTTTCGGAAACCATTAAATCATCAGCTCCTCTTTTTACTGCAGTGACAGCTTATTTTTTGTTAGGTATTTATTTTCATACTTACAGGTTTTAAATTTCTTTAACTTACTTAACTTGAAACAATCTTTACTTTTTTTGAATTCAGGAGAGTATTCGGGAATACTAGTAAACTTGTCGCTATTGCCTATAATGTTCGGTTTGGCCATTTCAACGTCTACGGAGCTCAGTTTTAACTCTACAGGATTTATTGCGGCTGTGGTTAATAATATTCTTGACTGGTAGTCATCTATTTTTTATATTTTATGCTTAGATCTGATAATGAGTATTGAGTTTATTTGCATTACATTTTTATTCAGCGTTCAGAATGTTTTCTCCAAAAAACTTCTCAGCGGTGATGAACCAGAGTTTAGGTTAAACGTTATTTAAATAAAATAGTAAACAAATGAATTTCTTTCTTATTTTTATGCATTTATTTTTATGTTATTATCTTGAAATCGCATTAGAATTTTCATTTTATCGATTATATTTTGAATAGTGCATTAGAACTTCAGTTTTACACCAGTGTTGCAGCTGCGATATTTCAAATGCCGTTATGGTTCTTATTTATGGTAATATGCTGCTAATACTGTATTTTTTGCTGGTATTAATAGAAATGTTTTTATTTTTATTATTTTTAACTTTTCATCAATCTATATGGTAGTAGACGATTTTAATTTTTTCAGGACATTCACAGTAAACTTAATATGTTGGACCAATACATGGTTTCAATGCTTCTTTTCAATGGATTTATGTTTTATGCCCAATCACTATTTGCGTATTTGTTGATGTCTCTCATTTCTCCGGTAACATTCAGGTATGATAAGCTGTCATTCTTATTTTGCGAATATATGTCATTCTTATTTTGTGTGTATATATATATATAATATATATATATATATATATATATATATATATATATATATATATATATATATATATATATATATATATATATATATATATATATTATATAATTTACGAAATAAAAAATATAACAGCACGGTAATTTATTTTTTTAGTGTTTCTAACACATTAAAGCGTGCTGTTCTAATTTGGTTTTCTGTGTTGGTATTTGGAAACAAAGTCACGATGTTAAGTGCTTTAGGTACTTTTCTTGTAGTTGCAGGGGTGTTAATGTACCTGAGGGCAAGACATTTAGAATCAATAAAAATGAATAAAACTACCGACAAACAATGAGTGACAGAATTAAGTTGAATGCTAATGAATGAATGCTAATGAATGAATGCTAATGAATACTCGACCATCGAGGACTCGATGTCGAGCACTTGATCGGATCAAGCGATTATTAGTTATGGGATTTTGAATTTTAGCAGGCTATGATTCAAGAAAAATAAAAAATTTAGTGCATTTACATATCTTAATCAATTTGGTTTATTGGATTTACTTTTTACAAAGCATAGATTTAATGCATTTACATATATCTAAATCAATTGGGTTTATTGGATTTATCCCGTATAAAGCGTAAACTTCTTTTATAAAATATTTTATTACCAAGTTTATATTTATTAAAATTTATTGGAATAAAAATTCAGATTTGCATAAAAACTTTTTATACAAAAGATAATTTTTTAACAGAAAAACACCTGAACGTTCGTTTCAAATTGGAATTGATTTTTTCAAAATTCTTTAATTTTATATAAAAAAGGGTCACTTTAAAAAAAAGGTCACTTAAAACCTTTTTTTATTTTAAAGAACAAAAACAAGTTTCTCTAAAATCAATAGATTTTGATTATAAAAGTTCTTCATCAATAGATGGCAATTCTGATCGAATTCAAGATATCAGTTCCAGGATTTTTTAAATTTGACAAAATATTTTTTTTGTAGTTACACTCATTGTTATTTTTACCAGTTTTGCGTAGCGCAGTCAAACAATGTTACAATATTTTGAACTGTTGAAAAAGCATGTTTTACATCAATCTGCTTTCTAAGACTATATACATGGTGTATATATTTTTGTGTCTCGTTCATTTACATACATTTTAACAATGTATTGGACCTTTATTGCTCAACTTAATCACCATGTGTGACACCATGTGTGACACCATGTGTAGCGTTATTCGACAGCGATAGTAATAAATTGCTGTTCAAAAAATTTTGAATAGCAATTTGAAAATGCTGAACAAAACATTTTGTTTTGATCATATGTGTGTGTGTGTGTGTGTCTATATATATATATATATATATATATATATATATATATATATATATATATATATATATATATATATATATATATATATATATATATATATATATATATATATTTATTTATATATAAATAAATTTATAATACGAAAAAAAACCATATTTCATTAAACATTGTCTTCCTTCGAACAGTACTTTTCCTAATAAGTTAAAAAAAGTCCTTGGCCCAATACTTTTTTTAATTTATATTAATGATCTTCCAGAAGGTCTCACATCTAAGATGGGATTGTTCGATAATAATACTACCATTTATTCTTGTATTGATAAGAAGCCAACACTCTCTGATTACTTGGAGGAGACTTTCTGATTACTTGGAGGAAACTTAGATCTTCCTATAATTATTAGCGGTATGTACTTGATGAGTCATCTACCCTTCGTCTTTTAGGATTAACTCTTATTACCAATCTTTCTTGGAAACCATATATTAAATCGTTGCATCTCTTTATCATGCTCGCCATTTTCTTACATTGGGTTCTATTTTTTATTTCTATAAATATCAAATTCGTCCTTTTATCGAATACAGTTGCCATACCTGGGGCGTTTCTTCTAATAATGCACTTTCTCTTTTAGATAAGGTGCAAAAACGCATTGTAAAAATAGTTGGACCTGCTTTTGCAGCCAACCTCCAACCATTATCACATCACCACAATGTTGCTTTTTTTTTATCTTTTCTATAAATAATATAATGGGCACTGCTCTAAAGAGCTAGCGTTTCTTGTGCCATCTACCAAAATTTATTTATTAATTATTTAAGTCTCTTCCTTTTACTGTGTTCATAAGTGCTCCAAAAACTCTTATTTGTCTAGTTTTTTTCCTCAAACATCAGCTCTTAGGAATTTGCTTCCTTCATCTTAATTTTCTAATTCATATAATTCAATCTTTTAAGTCGTCTGTTAATCGTCATTTTGCCCTATAAACTTCATCTTTTCTCTTCCAGTAACTTCCAGCTTTAATAGTGGTTGCTTGCAACCTTGTTAAAAGCGAAGAGGAAGAAAAAAAAGAAAAAGGTTGTTAAAGTCAATTCTGTTTATAAAATGGTGATTGTAGCTATATTTCTTACTACCGTCCAATTTCCCTTCTACCCGTGTTTTCTAAAATTTATGAAAAAGTAATCTGCAATCAATTTTATACTTACTTAAAGCTATTAAACAAAATCGATTTGGTTTTCAAAACGATTTATTAACAGAGCATGCTATCAATGATCTTACAAACCAAGTATTTCAATTTTTTGATGAAAAAGAGCATGTATTGGGAGTATTTATAAGCCTATTAATCTTAAATTATTACTATTAAAATTAAAATATGGAATCATGTCAAAATCTCAAGTGTTCTTGATGTTGAGTGTTGAGTTCCACATAGCTCAATCTTAGGATCGTTATTGTTTTTAACTTATTTCAGTAAGCAGTAGTAAGTAAGTAGAGCCGTAGCTAGGCTACCCCCACACCACCAATTAGGGGGGGAGGGGCAGCGATTTTAGGGGGCCCATTTGGACATATTGGGGCCTTTAAAAGTAGGTATTATAAAAAAAAATTATAAAAAATTTTCCTTTAGGTACTATAAAAAAAAAAGAGCCTTTTTTTTTATAGTACCTAAAGGAAAATTTTTTATAAATCTCACTCATTTCTTGACTTCTTTTTAAGAAAAAACCTTTACTTTAGTCTAATTCATAGTACTCTCACATATGTTAATATAGTGTGGAAAAAAAAAATTAATCAAATTACAGGGCTTGCAAAACCATGCTTTTAGAGCAATTAATTATCTAAGCAGAATGTATAATCCTTCTAATGTGTTGACAATATGACAGTAAACTTGGAAAAAAAAAGTTTATACCAGATTCTTATTTTTATTATAAAAATAATACGCTACGAAATTCCTTTTTAGATATGTTTTTATCATCTTTCTTCAAAAATTATAATTTTGGAAATAGATGACAAATACCCCCGCCCCCCAACCCCAATGCATAAATAAATCATTAAAGACCAAAAAACATTTACTTAATTTCTCTCTTTAATTTCTCAATTAAAAATCGAAACGTTATTTATTTATAACTTACCAGTTTTTATAAAGAAAAGAATTATAAAAAAGGATTTTTGTTGCGAGTTATATTTTATATTTCCACTAATGGTGAATAAATGAAATATGTTATCTATGAAAATCTGCTTCCACGCTTTTATTAGCAATCTCCTCACTGATATCTTCACTTTTATTAACAGATTCTCACTCTCTTCTCACTCTCCATCTCAATTGTTTTGTGTGTGTGTGTACTTTCTTGTGCCGTTTCATTGCAGTCTAGCTTGGTAAACTGCAAATTAATTTTTGTATGTATTTAGGTGCTCCCAGAAGTCCTTACGGTCTTATCATAGAGCACCGCGTGAGAGCATTTAACAGGAAGTTCACGCCTCCTTCCGTACCAATGTCGCTTGTTGGGCTAGAGCTGGCGTCGAACCTCGGACCTCTGGGTTCTCAGCCAGAACTCTAACCACTGCGCCACGGCTGCAAATGAAACGGCACAAGAAAGTACACACACAAGTATTTATTGCACTTGTAGCAAACTCCGTTTGAGAGTATTTCTTTCCACGATGGATAATACAGATCAAATGGTATAGTTTTTTATTTTAATTCTTCTGTAGGTATATCATGTAGCAACAGACGATGTGTCAGTGGTTCAAACGTTTATTGGTTTGATACATTTTCAAAATATCAAGACAGTTCCATTGCTTTGTAACCATTCTCGCAGTATTCGAGATGGCCGAAAATGTAATGAAATGTTGGGAGAAGGTTTCAGCCAGTTTGTTTCAGACGGTGTGCAACATGACTCTTCATGGTATTTTACAATTTGTAGGCTGTATCATGATTGCTGTCAATATTTGTCAACCCATGATTCATGAGTTTAACCTTGTTTTCCATATACATCAAAAATGGCGCTTGAAGGTTTGCTGCAGCAAGGCCCAATAGAACTCTGGCTTTATCATAGTTGGATATAAAATACATAGCTTTTGGTCCAAACAATTTGATAACTTCAAACATATCGTCAATGAATGATTTGTCAAATATTCTATGGTCATTTCTTTTCGCATTGAGTTTTCTGGACGCAAAAGCTTTACTGGAACTATGTTGACATGTTTTTTCCTTCAGAAGTATTTCCACGTCGTTGTTAAAGACTAAAATACAAACCAATCCTACTCAAGGAAAAGCCTATCTTTGTCAACTTTGCCTGAATGTCATCCAAAGTGGAGACGCTACGGAGACATTCTGTTCTTTGACGTTCGTCAGCTGCTGATGAATTTTGCACAATTTTTACAACTGTTGATTTAACATCGAGACGCGATGGTTTTAAATAAAGTGTTTCAAAGCACTTGATGCTTCAGGAATGCTCTGACACACAGCTCTCTTTAAGTTTTTGACTTCGTTTTCCTTGACGAGACGATTTACAAACCAATCTGAAAATGAAATGTCAGAAAATCTTTGATTCAGTTATAAAAATTTCTACATTTATGGTTTCGCGACTCGGCTAAAGTTACAAAAGAAAAAGTTCGCAAATTCTCATTTTAAATTAGAAATTATTGTTGAAAATAAGATTATGAAAATTTCTGTCTGAAAATGTTTGGGTTTTATGAGGAAGACGCTTTTCTATACGCACATTCTGTTTAATATATGTCTTGATATTTACTATTAAATTAACAGTTAAAGATTCTAAAATAAAATATCTAATAAAATAATTATATATAATTAAACTCTTACCTGTTCAATTCTTTTTTTTCTTCTTCTTATGGTTTCTTTCAGTGTTTTTTTGTTCCTTTTTTACGGTAGACAAACAAGAATTGCGTACGATTATTAAGGATGAACGTTTTGATTGAAGATCTGAGATTTTTCTTTGGACTCCTAACCTATGCAGGATTTTCTCTTTCCTTTTTGTTGTATGTTAAATCTAAGAAAAACCGAAACATGAGCTATAATAAATTCTTGACAGTTGATATCGGGTGAACGCGCGAAAATCCGGTCAACTTTAAATTGATATTTCTCTAAAATAAGGGTCTGCGTCTGCTCTTATTCTCTCGGAAGTTCGGTATGAAACGGTAAAAAATGTGAGTATTCGTTTCTTTCCGTTTTTACGAAACAAAAAAATATCATTTTGTTTTGTATCGCATTTATGCGAAACACGTAAATCTTGTTTCGTTTCGTATCATGTTGTTACGAAACGTGAAATTATTTTTTCAATTTGTACCGTTATTTACGAAACACAATAAAATTGTTTCGTTTCTTATCGGTTTTTACGGAATATTTCATAACTCCCCGCCCAAACAGATATTTCACGATTCCCATGCCCTCGAGCAATACATAAACTTTTACGTTTAATACTTACTAACTCAATGTTTCGTAAATCAAAGTTTAACTAAAAAAATGTATTAACAAAACAATGTAATAGCATCATTTTCATAAGGCTTAGCGCATCTAACGAAGTTAAAAAAAGATATTGTCTTCTGTAGGTAGGTTTTAGTAAAACTGATGAACTTAAAGTTAAAATTTTATTACAGTAAAACCGTTTTACTGTAATAAAATTTTAACTTTAAGTTCATCAGACATAAATTATGTATTTGTTTATAAACTCGCATGAAGAGTTTGAAATCATTGTTTGAATTAAATACTTCAAATTATATTATATAACATTTTAAATGCGATATTGTTGTATTAACTTGAAATATTTTGCAAAACTAATCAATTTATTGTTTAAAAACCATAGTAATTCTCAATCATATAATCATGCCTATAAAAGCTACAATTTTATGGAATTATTTCAATAAAGTTACTGTGTCAGGTGTTAAGTGTAGGGAATGTAAAAAGTGTCAAATCCAAATCAAGTTAACTGATGGATTCACTAGTGGTATCAGGTACCATCTGAAAACAAAGCATCCCACTGACTACGCTACGATGTTAAGAGCCCAAATTGAACTTGAGCGCCAAAGAGAAGAAGATATTAAAGAAATTACAGAAGCTGCCTTCGAACTGAATGACGCATACAGTAAGTTTCTAATTATTTTTCATAAAATAATGTTTTTCCTTGTATAAAGATAATTTTCATGTTTAACTTTAATTTTTATTTCGTTTTTTTAGATCAACGATCACAAAAAGGCTTATCTAAATATGTTAATGGGGGAACTATTGGGAAATATTCTTCCCAATCAGGCAGGCAATTGGAGACAGACATGGTAATCATGTCATACATTGCCAGGTCAAGTAGTCCATTCACTCTAGTAGATGAACCATGCTTCAAAGAAATGGTGGAACATTTAAATCCAAAAGTAATTGTGAAACATTCCTCGACTTTTTCAAGGTACAAACTGCCATTGCTTTATGAAAGCGTTATGGATACTGTGCAAAACCTAATTGAAAAAGAAGTTTCCACTTGTCAACAGGTGGCTATCACCACTGATGGTTGGACCTCTAGGTCACAGGATCCATACATTACTCTTACGCTTCACTATATCAATAGTCAGTTTGAACTGAAAAAATATGTTCTCAACTTTGACAATTTCGTGGGAAGACACACTGGTTACCACATTAGCAAAGTAATTTTTCTTATGTTGATATAATTTGTTCTCGTAAATATAAATTTGTAAGTGCAAAAATAATTTAAAAAAGTAAAACTTATCCTTCCGGTAGAATAGCGTTTCTTCTAGGATTTTGTCAATTATTGAAAGAATTTATAATTTATTGTAAAACCTAAAAGCTGCATAAGTTATCTTATAAATCATTAATTTTTCTTCATTCTTGTTTAAGGCTCTGGAAGAAATGATCCAAAAATATCCGGTATTGGACGCCGTGCCCAAGAAAGTCATTGTCCACGATGCGGCGGCAAACATGAAACATGCTGTGTCAATCATGAACAAAACAAAATATGAATCATTGTTGTGTGCAGACCACCTACTAAACACTAGCCTACTACATTCAATTACAATGAAGTGCAAGAAGTCAAAGAATGCATAGATATTGCCACACAACTATCTAGCAAAGTCCACAGATCCACCTTAGCTTGTCAACTTATTGAAAAAGAGTGTATGTTGCTCCGTGTAAACTATGTTAAAATCATTACTCCGGTAAAAACCAGGTGGAATTCTAACTGTTTTATGCTGGAGTCAATCCTTAAACTTGAAGATGTGTTGATTTCTCTTAGAGAAAAAGATGCACTAAATAACAACCCACTACAGAACGTTATTCCAAGTGACAACCAATTTTCACTGATGGCTTCACTGATGCCAGTCTTAAAAAAAATGAAGATTATGTCAGATTGCATGTCCAAGGACACTGAACCAGTGCTTCATCATATGCTAACTATGCTTTATAAAACTGACAATTTTCTTCATGACCACATTGATATGGAAAACAGAGAAATAGTTAATGCTTTTTGTAAAAAACTAAGTGAGCATTTACACCTAGCCACGCGATTCAATGAACATGGAAGATACAACCAACACTATGCCTTGGGAAACTTTCTTCATCCGTACTTTAGAGGTTATAAGTTTTATTTCTTGGTAAAAAAAACATTCTTTAATATTCTTTATTTGTTAAAAGACTAAATTTAACAGTTATTGTTTATGATTTCAGGATATATGCTTAGACATTACGGTATCTTCGAAGAGTTCACCAGAAAAGTCATCAACAATCATCCATCGTCGGACGCTGTTTCGATCAGTGAAAAAAATAATCATAAAGCTACACAAGTTAAAATGCCAGTTGGTGTGGATGAGTGCGACGATTTACAAAATATAGAGATTGAACAGGGTAATAATAACCACACCATTAGTCAAAATGTACCGGAAATTGAAAGGGAGTTTGAGTCTTTCCACGCTATGCCTCGTGTTGAAGAAAAGCATAAAGTTGATGTGCTGAAATGGTGGAAGAAACATGCCTCTACTTTGCCATTGTTAGCACAATTGGCAAGAAATTTGCTCTGCATTCCAGCTGCATCAAGCTGTAGTGAGAGAGTGTTCAGCGCCAGCGGTGGAATTATAAATGATAAAAGACACAGTCTTTCCACTCAGACAGCAAAGCAATTGACTTTGATTAAAGTCAATTATGATCTTGTCTGTCCTCACATCACCTTGAAAATTATAAGCGACGCTGAAGAAGCCCTGGACCCCCCAGCATTAACTCCAGTTAGAACACCTCCCAAAAATCCTATTCCTAAAGCAGTTTTTTCAAATAACCAAAACAGGTTATTGTTCAAAACAAAAAACGTTTCAACAACGCCATTATGTTCTTCTTCTTTACCATTAACACCAACATCTTCAGGAATCAAAAGAAAAGCAATGGAAATTCCAGAAGAATCCGAAACAACATCATCCGAAAAAACATCCGAAAGTGACACTCAACAAGTATTAAAATTAAAATGTTTTACTTTTTATTGTGAAATTTTAAAATCGTGAAATATAATTGTCTAAATAAAAACTGATTTTTCGTAAAAATCGCAAATGTGTTCTTAAATTGGTACAATATAAAAGTAAATTACTTTTTTATTTTATGCTAGCCCTATCTGTCGTAAAAACATTAGTATTTCCCGTAAAACTCAGAAATTTCTTGTTTGTTTGTTTTGTTTTTTACCGTTTTATTTCGGAAAAAGTTTAATCTTATTTCGTTTCGTACCGGTTTTTTCAAAACAAAAAATGTGTCCCGTATTTATCACGAAATCAGAAAATTGTATTTCTTTTCGTAGCGTATTTTGCGAAAAAAGATAAAAGTTGTTTCGTTTCGTAACGGTTTTATCGAAACAATATTTTTCATCGTTTTGTTTCGTTTCGTCTTGTACCGTTCTGAGACGCAGACCCTTACTCTAAAACCATAAATGTTTTTTATTTCAATTTTTTATTATCAAATGTGTTTACATCAATTAAAGTTTCAATATAATTTTAAGAGGCTTGTTGGGGGGTAATTCCATGTCAAAACAACAAGTCGAAATAACCCACCATCTCAGAAATACTTGATTTTTGGCACAAATGCAGTTAATAATGTCGTTAGTAATAATCATAAATAATTTGAGTCAATTTCATTATTTTAAGAGTTATGGGTCTTTGAAGTTTAAGAATTTTAAAATTTTTTTATTCTCCGCTCTCTTAGCAACACTAAAATGTTAAAGTATACACAGTTACATTAACCATTCGTTTACAAAATTTAATAGGTATAGAAACTTTCGAATAAAGAAATCAAAAATCATTGCTTAAAGTTATTAGATCTTATATTTGATTAAAAACTTTGCAATGCAAACCGGGCTTTTAACAATAATTTTTTAGTAAACATGTCTAGTTTAAGATTAATTGCAGAAAAGGTATTGATCTATTCACTTTAATCTTTACAAAAATAGTTTATATATAAATGCCTGTAAGAGGCAAAAATTATTTCATTGTTTTTTGATGCACATATCTATTTTATTATTGTTTTATTTTTGCAATTTTATTTTTGCATTTTTATTTACCGTTTTGGTTATAATTATTTTAGTTAAAGATTATAACTAAAATAATTTCTCACAAAAAAAATAATGATTTCTCACATAAGTGTTATACTTAAATATTAGAACCAGTTGCTCCGTTTAATTAATTAAACAAGAAACCCAGAAATTCATTTTTATTTTAAACTAAATAAGTCTAATCATATGATTACACTTATTTAGTTTAAAATAAAAATGAATTTCTGATTTCTTCTTGTATTAATTAAATGGAACAATTGATTCTAACATTTGAATTTTGATTATAATGCTCATGCGAGAATTTATTATTTATTTAATAATAGTTTTAGAAAAATAAAATATTAAAATTAAATATTTTTATAATGGCTGGAACATCACAATGCTCAGTTGGATTGATTTTAAAATCAAATTGTCACAAGTTAACATTTACAAACCACATTGGAATAAACTTTTTTCAAGATTTAGCTCCAGATGAGCAAAATTTAGTTGTGCTAAGGTCTGGTGTTTCTTCTGTTTTGATTATTGACTTATGTTTTCATCATCAAAAGTTCTATATTGAGAAGTTCCCTGTGTTTCAGAATAAATGCTGTGATCCACTGTTAGTTCACAAAAGACCGTGCAAAGGTTAGTAAAGCTTGTCATAAATTTTATAATAGTAAATTTGTCATAATTTTAAGTTCTTTATTTTTGTTAATAGTAGGCACATTTTACTTTATTAAGTTATATTTTTTAATTTAGCATCTCTCAGAGAAGTCAGTTTAAGAACCATAGCTTTAAACAACAGGATCAATATTGTACCTGGTCAAAAAATTTGTACAAATTGCTTACTCAAATTAAAAGCTTCCACTGAAATTAATACTGATAACATTAATATTGCTGATGATTACACAAATGAAAGTATAAATAAAGAAAACATATTTAGTGTTCAACAAGAAGCTGATGTAAATAAAAACAGACAAGAACTTTCTGATTGTCTCAGTATAATTGGTGTGTCACCAGTCAAGCTTCACGGAAAGCCATTTGCAAATCGTATGAGTATTGGGGAAAAAAAAAATTAAAACTATTGTAAAAGTTTTCAAAGAAAAGTTATCAAATTCTTTAAAAATTCCATTGACAGAAGTTGAAGTTTTTGATAATGAATATGTTCTTGATTTAAAAAAAAAAGTTGTTCAGTTCGAAAAAATGTTAGTTTTGATCAAAGATAAACTTGAAAAATGCAGTTCATTTAGGGACAAAATTCAAGTATTGACTTTGTGCCCACAAGAATAGTCAATTGAAGCAGCTAGTGAGTATTTTAGTGTTTCAAATTATCTAATAATAAAATCCAGATCTTTAACAAAGAAGGAAGGAGTTCTTGCAGTTCCACAAACTAAGCGAGGTAAAATGCTCCCTGATCAAATAAATACTTTAGTGAAAATTTTTTATGAAAATGATGAAAACTCTCGCCAGATGCCTGATCAAAAGGATTTTGTAAGTGTTAGTTGGAAAGTCCATATGCAAAAGCGATTACTTTTGTCAAGCTTAAAAGAGTTATTTGTCTCATTTAAAATTCTATATCCACATGTAAAGTTAGGTTTTTCCAAGTTTTGTGTTTTAAGGCCTAAATGGTGTGTTTTGCCAAACTCATTAGGAACCCATTCTGTGTGCGTTTGTATCTACCATCAAAACATGAAGTTAATTCTCCTACCCATTAAAATTGATTACCACGAACTATATAAATTTATTGTTTGTGATATGCAAAACAAAGAATGCATGTTACATCGATGTACACAATGTCCGAAAAATACATCTAAATTAGAAGAAAAACTATTCAAACTAATAAGGCAGTTTGAGGAAGAAGATACTATCGAATTTAACCAATGGGTTACTACTGATAGATCAGATTTAGTTATACAGCTTGTAACCATACCAGATTATGTAAATATGGTGATGGAAAAACTATTCAAGCTAACAACGCATTCATATATTTCTAAATGCCAATCTAAATATTTAAAAAATCTTAAAGAAGAACTGCCATCAGGTAGCGCAATAGTTCTAGGAGATTTTACAGAAAACTATAGTTATGTTGTGCAGGATGAAGTACAAGGTTTCCATTGGAATAATTTTCAATGCACACTTCATCCAGTGGTTGTGTACTATAAAGAAAATCAAGTGTTGCATTCCACTTCATGTTGCATTATATCAGATGATAACACTCATGATGTACCAATGGTTTACTAGGTACAAAAATCATTTATCAATAATCTGAAGCAAAAAATACCCAGCATTGTAAACGTGGTCTACTTTTCTGATGGCTGTTCATCTCAATATAAAAACTGCAAAAATATATTAAACCTATGTCAGCATAAATCAGACTTTGGAATAGATGCAAAATGGGTTTTCTTTGCAACCAGCCATGGAAAGCAATCTTGTGATGGTATAGGAGGAACAGTTAAACGGCTTGTGTCTAATGCTAGTTTGCAGAGAATTACTACAAATCAAATATTTTTTTTTTAATTTTAATTCACCTCCTCAAGGCCGAGTAGGCCACTACAGACAAGGAGGCTACTTATTTTGTGGCTATAACCCTCTCTCAACTCTATAACTCCGAAACACGAACCTTGACAAACAAGGCCGCTGCGCGGAGAAACAAGTTGAGCGCGATACTACCAGGGACGTGGTGGGGATCGAACCCGGAACCACTCGTTTATGAAGCGAGCGCTCTACCACTACACCACTACCGCATATTAAACTCACATGATATGTTTACATATTGCACTAACAACATCAAAGGTATAAACTTTATTTTTATTTCAAGTGAAAGTTTAATAGAAACAAGATTATTACAATCTGAGCGATTTAAAAATGTAAAAACAATACCAGGAATAAGAAACTTTCATGAATTTATTCCTGTATGTCAAAATGAAGTTAAGATGAAATACTGCAGTGATGACACTATCCCTATCTTGACCTACAAGTTTAAAAATTGCGAGATGCAAAGTGATGTGCAAAGTTGACATGGAATTTTAATTTATGCACCAACATGGCCTTGAATCTTAAAGACACTTTCTTGCTTCCTTTTATCAATTATTACTTCGAATCGACAGTTTGCTTATGTCTATGATATGTATATGACAATATTTTGCATTTATTAAAAAATACTACCTAATTTTGTTTTGTTTTACAGTCCAAAGAAAAACAAAGGAATATTTGAAGTTCAATAATTTGTATAAAAATTTATCAATTCATAAAAGCACAAACAATTCAAAGAGTTAATGTGTTTTGATATTTAAAATTGAGTTTGTTTATGGACATGTCATAGATATTGCAGTTTTATACCTAAGTGAAAATACCTCTTATTTTTTGACTAGCTTTGAGTAAAAACACCTGTTTTTAGTATTTAAATATTTTTAATTGAGTTTATTAAATATGCATATTGTAGTTGTATACATAAGTAAGAATTCTTACTTTCTGGTTGTGCCTAAACATAAGTAACAATCAATTTTCTGTCTCAATCTCAATATACTTTCAATCAAAAATAAAAATTAAATTGTTTAGATTAGTAAGTCAAAGAACAACTCGTTTTTTTTTTTTTAGATGTTTATATATACTTTAAGATTATGAAGTTTGGAAATATATAGATCATAACCTTTTCTGTAATTCTTTTTATAGTAAGCATGTTTACTTTTCAATTTTATTAAAAACGCCGATTTACTCTTATTGACTTATTAATAAATAAATAAAAATATTATTTCTTGGTATAATTTTATAGTTTAGCATCTAATAATATGTGAAAAAATTTCAAATTATGAAACTATATAGTTAAGGTAACAACGTATGTATTAGCATTTACTTGTTACTAAGGACGTTGCTAGGGGAGCATCATGAGTAAAAATGTTACTAAGTTTTAAATTTTAAACGAGCATAACTTCTAAAATATTCCGATTTGTTTAAAACAACTTTGGGGAATTCTTTTTAGCCTAGTTATATATCTTTGTTGCAAAAATCAAGTCATTTAGAGATAGTGGGTTATTTTTTTGAATTTTTGTTGTTGTTTTGACACGGAATTACCCTGGGCTGTTTGGCAAGAAATCGAATTTTATAGCGGGTTGATGCCATCATTTCGCAAATTTTTTCTTTTTTCATCTTATTGGTGGCATTAATCCACTTTTTTTAGAAATCCAATTTATTTTTTGTTACTGTACCTGTCTTACGAAGAACTCCTTTAACTATTGCCCAAAAATCTTGCGCTCTTCAGGAGGATTTGCATCTTTAGAAACAATTTTCACATTATAATCTTTGCACCACTGTAGAATATTTTTATAATAGTGAGAAGCAGCAAGACCTGCCCAAAAGAGACATCGGTATTTGCGTTTTTTCATTAAGGACAAAAGCCTTTTTTGGAGGCATTCTTTGATGTGGAGATCGGCATTGAAGGTCTTCTTAGTGACAAAACAAGGGGACTGCATACCATAGCTACAAATTGCTTGCCACACAAGGAACTTGAATGCAAATTTTTTTTAGTCGAATATATTTAAATTGATCATCGACAGGTTTATCTTTGCTCTCATAGTAAAAGTTTTGACCAGGTAGTTGTGAAAAATTCGCCTTGCAATATGTTTCGTCGTCTTCAATTATGCACACACTTTTATCCGCCATCATTTAAACCAATTTCTTTGCGCGTCGAATTGCTTTAATTTCACCATTTAAATTTCTCTAGGGTGTATTTTTGTTATGAAATGCTTCAATTCCAGCATTTTTAAGTACTTTTTTGATATAAGAACGTCAAATCTTTAATTTTCTTGCTAGATCTTGCTGTAACTGGTTTAAATTTTTTACTATTGAACGTAAAATCGACTTTACATTTTTGGATTTATGGAAAGTTTTCTTTCTTCCATTTCCAGGTTTTCTTTTGAAGGTTTGAGTAGTCTTGGACTTATTTATAATATCTATGACTGTAGATATTGGGACATTTGTACATTAAGCAATCAAGCAATATGAAGTAGATGGATTTTTGAAAGGAAAAATTCACAACTTTTTTTTACGCACAATTTGTTTCCGAAACATTTTGCAAATCATTGATTTGTAAACGAAAGTTTTTTAACACAGTTTAAGATAAGCAAATAACGTTTAATTAAAATAATAAAAAAAATCAAAAACATTTTTGGTTTTAGAGAGATTTCAATTTAAAGTTGACCGGATTTTTTCGTGTCCACCCGATACTAATCAATTTATTTTGGATATAGATTAGATTGGATATAAATAGGTCTAGTGGTTAATGATAAATCGTCCAAATCGTCCTGAAGAACGCAAGATTGAAGATTTTTGGGCAATAGTTAAAGGAGTTCTTCGTAAGACAGGTACAGTAACAAAAAATAAAATGGATTTCCAAAAAAAGTGGATTAGTTCCACCAATAAGGTAAAAAAAGAAAAAATTTGCAAAATGATGGCATCAACCCGCTATAAAATTCGATTTCTTGCCAAACAATCCCATCAAGCCCCTTAAAATTATATTGAAACTTTAATTGATGTAAACACATTTGATAATACAAAAAATTGAAATAAAAAACATTTATGGTTTTAGAGAAATCTCAATTTAAATAGATTTTTCTCGATATTTTTATCCAATTTTGATGGAGCATTTACGACGAGTTCAAGATAGACAAAGACAAATTCACAAATGCTAAGTTTCAATATTCAAAACGAGGTCATAAACCTCTTAGCTTCGCATTTAAAAGAACCTATTATGAACAAGGTAAAATTTGAAAAGTACTTTTTAGTTATTTTGGATTGCGTTTAAGACCTTAGTCGCAAAAACCAAACTTATTTAACCATGTTCATAACCATTTAACCATATTATTTAACCATGTTCATAACCAAGTTAACTTATTTAACCATGTTCATTTGTTCATGAAGAAAAAAAAGCAATAGGCATCGTTCAAGAAAGCTTTTTTGAATATAGGTTTTCATTTTTGGTTATAATTTCATTCTAACCTTCTAATTATAGAAATAAAATCTTGTAGGCTAGACCGAAACAATTGTATAGGGCAAAGCCATGAAAACAGGTTTTTTATGGTTTCAATTCAAAAAGGTGTTTAAGCTTGTATTTCATCAGAATGGGTATTCAAGCCTTATTTACACCCTGTGGTTGCCATAACATGAACGTAGTTATATCAGACGGAGCTAAATCATTGGTTAAGTTTATATTATTGTTTGGAACTCCAAAGTTATTCGAAGAATCTATAAAAATTTTTCTGCATCAATCAAGCGTTGGTCATTTCCCTAACACAAAAGAATCTTTTAAAAATGATGTTTTCTTTCCTCTAATTGACACAGTTGAATCATCGTTAAAAGACAGATAGGATAAATTCTCCAAATACGAGTCAAAGTGAGGATTTCTATTTGACCTGAAAAAACTACGTCTAAAGAACAAATAGTATAATTGGGCTTTTGAAGCATACATTTCAATCAACAAACGATCACTTATGGAAAAGGTTATATACCATTTATATCCGCCCGCATCTAGAACTTGCTGTGCCTGCTTGGCCATACCTAGAAGGAGATATCTTTAAAATTAAACAAGTTCAACGAAGAGTTACGAAAGTTGCACATTGTAAGAAAAATTTTTTGTATAAAGAGCAAATGAATAGACTTAATCTAACAATGCTGGAAATAAGAAGAAATTGCGGAGATCTGATCTAAATATTTAAGCTAGAAAATCATTTAGAAGTAGAAGAGTAGAACTCACCCGACGGGCATTTGTTTTTAAAAGTTACGTTCTGAATGTATTTTAAATATCTTTTAAACGTCTTCTAAACATTCTTACGCAAAAAACGTTTAAAAGACATTTAAAATACATTTAGAACGTAACTTTTAAATACAAATGCCCGTCGGGCACCTTTAGCAGTAAATATTAGAGGAAATTTTGTGCGAGAGATCGTCAAAAACTAAAACATTCGACATTTTTTTATAAACAGAATTGTTAAAGAGTGGAACAATCTTCCAAATCACATTAAAAAATCAAAATCAGTCTATGAATTTAAAGTTTTACTTGACAGGCTAAGCTCGGGCTGCTATAGCGCGCCATCTACTGTTGGTGGGCTGTACAATTAGTTTATATAAATTTATATTTATAAATACTCTGTGAAGTATTATTTATGCAGAAATATATATTACTATTACTAAAAAGTTATAACCTACCTTTTTTTTTTTTAGTTTGTTATTAAGGTGCCTTAAGAAGTCCTAACGTTCTTGTCACAGAGCACCGCGGAACTGCATTTACACGGTCGTTTAGATATTAGTAAAAAGCGCTATGTTTAGGTACGCATGCGTATTTAAATTAAT